GCCTGTGGCGGTCAGAGCCGTGGGCCTGGCTGAGGACCAGCTTCTCAGGAGCCGTGCCCTCGGGCCGGACCTGCAGACTTGGGCAGGGCGCCGGCATGGGCACGGCCGTCAGAGGGAGGGGCTGGCAGGGCCGAGGGCGGGGCCGCCTGCGAGATGGGCTCCCAGCAGGGGAGAGGCCCGCTGGCCGCACCCCTTGCTGTGGCTGCACAGGGCCCCGGCCTGAAGGGGCACTGGGGCAGGTGGCCGTGTGCCCAGGCCGGGCAGAGCTGGGCCCTTTGACCCTGCGGGCGGGGCTCTCTCGGCTCGGCTGGCAGTGGCCCTGGCAACCCCCGGTGACCCAGGAGCCACACAGGAGGGGCCATGCCCCTCACCCGGGCCCCAGGGCGCTGTGGAGGGCAGGCACCTGCGGGGGACACGCTTGGCCGGGGGCGGCGAGGGCCCAGGACCCCGCGGAGGGAGCGGGCAATGCACTCGGCCCGCGGGCGGGAGTGAGATGGAGGACGTCCCCCCCTCCGGGGGAGGGGCTCTTACGGAGGGGGCGACGGAGACGCGTGTGAGGACTTGGGGGCAGAGGCCTCTGCGGCCCTCCACCAGGCCGGCGATGCCCCTCCGTGGACTCGGGCTTCAGGAGTCTCCTCCCAGCGAGGAAGCTGAGCTGCAGCGTGTGCGTGTGTGTGCGTGCGTGTGTGCGTGTGTGGGGGGGGGGGTGCTGGTTTGGGCGAGGCCACAGGGATCGGAGCATCGCTCAGAAAAGGAGCGACTGCCTCGGCGTGAGACGCGGGTCCTGTGCCGCCGGGGCGAGGGGAGGCGCGAGGGGAGCTGGACCGTGTGCCAACGCCGTGGCTTGGGCCCCAAGCTGCCATGAACGCCACGTCCCACGGAGCCAACCGGCTGGGGCAGCACCGGCTCCGGGCGGGAGACGCGGCCGGGAAGCCGGTGACAGCGCGTGGGGGGAGGAGGCGGAGGGGCAGCGCCTGGGCCGGGCCGTCTGGGTCGTCACACCCGGCACCGCCGGTCAGACCCCGGACAGAGGGACGGCCACTGCCAGCCCCCCCTCACCCCCGCCGACCGCCCGCAGCGGGAGAGACCCTGGAGGGCCAGGAGCCACCCCCCCCCACCGCCGCCCCGCCCGCGGGGAATTAACCTGTGAGCGGCCTCTGAGCTGTGGAGCTGGTGCTGCGTGTCCCGCAGGGCCCTCCGGTCAGGGCCAGCAGGGAGACTCAGGGCCGGGTCCCGTCCCTGTGGGGCCTGCCCCGGGGAGGGCCGGCGGGGGCAGGTGGCGGCGAGGAGCCGTGGGAGCCCACACAGGTCTGCCTGGCAGCAGCGGCGAACTCCGAGGCCCGGCCTTGGTTTTCAGCCTCACCAGCTGGTTAAACATTAAGCTCTGGCGAGATAAAGCCTCGCCCCCGGAACCGAGTGCCCATCTCCCTGGGGGCAGCGCCTGAGCCTGGTCCTAGAACAGCGTGCGGGTGTAAGGCCGCGCCTCCTTCAGACTGGAGGCTCCGTGACCCGCACAGACACCGTAAAGCCCTCAGGGGCACCCGGTCCCACTCCTTCCCCCTCGGCCCGGGCTCAGCTGTGCGCGCACCTGGGCGCTTCCACACTCCCACCCGAGGAGGCGGGCACCGAGGGGGCGGGCGCGAGGTAGGGTCCAGCCCGGGGGGTGCTGCGAGCCGGTCCAGGGGGCCATCCCCGGACCACAGGGCCCCTCAGCAAGAAGCCCCTCCTCCACTCAGGCCCCCGTGCTCTCCGCGCTGGGCCCGGGTTCAGCCCCCTCCGGGGAGCCAGGGGAACCTGCATGTGGCAGCTCGGTGACCCGTGACAGCTCAAGCCTCTCTAGCTCCAGTGGCGTGTGACGTGTAGCGTGTGATGTGTGACGTGACCCTTGAGCGCCACGCCCCGAAGTGTCTGAGCTGCGGCGGCACTGCTGGCAGCTGCAGCCTGGTGAAGCCGGCAGCTGACCCACCGCCCCCGGGGGACCTCATCCCCAGCATCCTGGCGGCCTGGGTCCCAGGGGAGCCCCCGGGGGGACAGTCCAAGGTCAGGCCAGACCAAGGCCAGCTGACCCTGCAGGATGCCTGCTCATCACAGGCCCTCGCCCCCACGCCTTTCCTCAAGCCTCCCGGGGCACAGGGGACTCTGTGAGAACTCAGGTGGCCCTGGCCGGGTTGCTCAGTGGTTAGTGTTGGCCTGTGGACCGAAGGGTTGTGTGTTCGACTCCTGACCAAGGACAAGGACCTCAGTTTCAGGTTCCATCCCTGGCCCTGGTCAGGGCACGTGCAGGAGACAACCAATCGATGTGTCTCACACCCAAAGTTCTCTCTCGCCCTAGCCGGTGTGGCTCTGTGGACAGAGCGTCAGCCTGTGGACTGAAAGGTTCCAGGTTTGATTCCAGTCGAGGGCACAGGCCCAGGTTGCAGGCTCGATCCCCAGCATGGGGCGTGCAGGAGGCAGCCGATCCATGGTTCTCTCACATCTTTGCTGTTTCTCTCCCTCTCCCTTCCTCTCTGACATCAATAAAAATATATTTAAGAAAAAGTTCTCTCCCCACCCCTTCCATTCTCTCTCAAAGTAAATAAAAACCCGCGGGGAAAACATCCTCAGGGAGAATTAGGAAAGAAGGACTCGGGTGCACGGAGGGTGCCTGCGGCACGAGCAGGGCCCCTTTGGCTCCGGCAGCCCGGCCAGCGCGGTCAGCCAGTGCCGGCCGAGGCGGAGCGTGGCCTGTGCTGGCGGGTGGCTGGCTGGCAAGCCACGGGACTCCCGCCCGCGCCTCAGCTGGGATGTGCTCCTCCGGACGGCTGGCTGGTCCCAGTTCGGGGCCTCCCCATGATGGCCATGTACAGCGGGCGCCCCTGGAGCCCACGTCTGAGGCCACGAGGACGGCTGCTCTTGGTCCCTGAGATCAGACCCTCGGGTCAGCAGGCTCCTTGCCCAACTTCCCACCTGCCACTCCCTCAGAGATGCACATGCTTCTTCCTGCTCCCTCTCGGTCAGCTGCCCCGGGACTGGCTCTGAAGGGAAGGGCCCCGGGCAGGCAGGTGGATTGCTGAGGGTGGAGACAGCCTGACACGAGAGACACAGGGAGGGACCACCCCGGGATCGAGCTGGTGAGGGCGGGCACCAGCCTGACGGGGCCAGGGGCAGGGGCAGGGGCAGGACGGATGGGAGCTTGGGGAGGGAGGTGGGGACTCGGGCGGGGGGCAGGTCGGGGCCACAGCGGGGTGAGCTGCAGACCCAGAGGACCCTCCGGGAACACGGACAGGGGCATGGGCCCAGGGGTCCTGTGGGTAGGCGAGGCCGCAGTGACAGCCCGCACCCTCTGCGTGGTTGGGTGGATGGCTGAGGCACACGGCGGCCAGGCGAGGCCAGGACAGCCGTTCTCCTGACTTCCTGCCAAGTGAGTTCCTGTCTGACCGGGAAACCCAGGCTCCCACCCGTGACGGCCCGCTGGGTGGGGATCAGGTGTGAGCACCGAGGGGTCCTGTGAGGGGCTCACGAACCCAAGTGGAGACCCGTGTCCCTGCGCCGGGCCCCGCAGCCCCGCAGCCCGGTGATGACGGAGACCAGCCCCGGGGCCCAGCCCACGCCGGTTCCCTCCAGCTGCCCCGCCCCCAGCGCAGACACGCCTGTGGTCATCATCCCACACCACTCGTGAGGCCTTTCAGCCGGGGGCCGGCTGGAGGGGTGGAAAGAAAGAGACAGTACACACCATGGAAAATGAAGAACACTGTATGTTTATTAATGTTTATTTCAAATTACAAGAAACAGATCACCAGTCCCTTATTGGTACAAAAATACCTGAAAGTGTGTACTTAGGTTCATGAGCTGAGGAGCTATGTACAAAGAGGAGCAAAGCACATGAGGAGAGCTTGTCTCTGCACCGTCTGCACCCTGGGCGCGGGCTACGCGGCTCGCTGTGACGTCACACTGAGGGCGAGCGGGTCCCACCCCGAGGGGTGAGACGCTGTCAGACTGCCAGGGCCACAGGCAGAGGAGAGAGGACAAGACTTCTAGACTGAGGCACATATTTCTTCAAAGTTTAGCAAACAAAAAAGCATCCTGGGACTCTCCCCAGCACGCTGGGGGCCGACACCACAGCGCGGTGTCCTCCTAACTCCCATCTGGCCCAGGCGGTTACACGAGTATCACTGAAAAAGAAAGTAAATCACAGGCAGAGAAAAACCCAACAGGCCCCACACGACCCTGAGCTGTCCCGTTTACATTCACGTCACCGAAATACAAAAATAAAGGCCCATGTCCTCAGCCCCTGGCGCCTGGCGGTGGCGAGGCCTCGTCCAGGGACCGGCTGCTGTCGGGGCCCTCCCGGCCGGGCAGGGCGAGGACCCTGTGCCAGGCCTGCGCTCGCGTCGATTGGTGGAGGCTGGAAGGGGCCACGGGCCGGGCACACAGCTACATGCGAAACTGAGTCAGAGTCGGGCTCCTGCTGTCCTTTAAGTAAAACGCGTGCGTATAAATATGAAATGCCGCAAACACTAGCCATCTACGGGGAGGGCGGGCCTCGCCTCACTGCCGGCCTGGTCTGCTCAGCGGGAGAGGCCGGGACCTTCCCGTGCTCAGGCTCACGTTCGGCCAGCGAGGGGCGGTCACATCAGTCCCTCAGGTGGCGGGCAGCCCCGCCAGCACAACGGGAGGCCCGCCTGGGGTCGAGGCTATGAAAGATAAACTGGGTACAAAAAAAGAAAACACAATCGAGTAACTATAGCTAAAAACGTCTACTGAAACTTCTTCATCTGCATAAATGGACAGGCACAGAAACAACCAGAGTGTGGCCTGTAGAGTAACAGCTCCCCTCTGCTGACTGACCCCCGGCGCGCCCCGGCCAAGGCCTGTGTGTTTCTGGGGACCCCTCGGGGGGTCAGTGGGGGCACATTCAGAGGCCAGTCAACATCGGAACTGCTACTAGACAAGAAAATCACTTGCACCACAGAGGTCTGTGTGCTCGTCAGAGACCAAAGGAAAGAAAGACATGGCCACTCTCAGACTGGGGACACCCCTCTGGGACCGGGCACCGTCCGAGCGGCCCCGGAGTGGGAGCAGTGTCCTGCTGACCAGGCTGGTCCACGTCCCCTGCTGCTGTGAGGGACGAGGCGGCAGAGGCCGCCAGCTGCCTCCCGCGCCGGGGTCTTAGGCGGGGGCATCAGGCACAGGCCGCAAAGCTGGGCCAGAACGTGCCCTTTCCATTTTTCCATCCTTGTCACCATGGAAACCTGCCAATCCGGGCCTGGACCATGGTGCCCTTTCAATGTCCCCATCTGTGTCACCATGGAAACCCGGGAATCCGGGCCTGGACCATGGTGCCCTTTCAATATTTCCATCCTTGTCACCATGGAAACCTGCCAATCCGGGCCTGGACCATGGTGCCCTTTCAATTTTTCCATCTGTGGCACCATGGAAACCTGCAAATCTGGGCCTGGAACATGGTGCTCTTTCAATGTTTCCATCTGTGTCACCATGGAAACCCGGGAATCTGGGCCAGAAACATGGTACCCTTTCAATGTTTCCGTCTCACCATGGAAACCTGCAAATCTGGGCCAGAAACATTGTGCCCTTTCAATGTTTCCATCCGTGTCACCATGGAAACCCGGTAATCTGGGCCAGAAACATGGTACCCTTTCAATGTTTCCATCTGTCTCACCATGGAAACCTGCAAATCTGGGCCAGAAACATTGTGCCCTTTCAATGTTTCCATCCGTGGCACCATGGAAACCCGGTAATCTGGGCCAGAAACATGGTACCCTTTCAATGTTTCCATCTGTGTCACCATGGAAACGCGGGAATCTGGGCCAGAAACATGGTACCCTTTCAATGTTTCCATCTGTGTCACCATGGAAACCCGGGAATCTGGGCCAGAAACATGGTACCCTTTCAATGTTTCCATCTGTCTCACCATGGAAACCCGCCAATCCTGGCGGGGGCATGCCCTTTCAAGGTTTCCATCCATGTCACCATGGAAACTCACAAATCTGGGCAGAGATATGGTGCCCTTTCAATGTTTCCATCAGTGTCACCATGGAAACCCGTGAATCTGGGTGGGGACATGCCCTTTCAACGTTTCCATCCGTGTCACCATGGAAACCTGCCAATCCTGGCAGGGATGTGCCCTCTCAAGGTTTCCATCCGTGTCACCATGGAAACTCACAAATCTGGGCGGAGACATAGTGCCCTCTCAAGGTTTCCATCCGTGTCACCATGGAAACCTGCGGGTCTCGGCAGGAAGCCAAGCAGGTGACATTTCTTATCAGAGCCTGGGGTCCCCTAGGGAGGACAGCCATGAGGAGGAGACTCGGCACCCGCAGGGGTCAGGCAGTGATCCTTCTAGAACAGGCGGCAGGTGCGCCGGCGGACGGACCACGGGCAGACGAGAGTAGCAGAGTCTCAAGAAAGCTGCCTGTCTCCAACCAGCGGGGGCTCGGCCGGCCGGGCGGGCGGGCGTCCCCGGAAACGAAGGCTCCTGGCTGCGGAGGAGGGCACCTGGGAGCATGAGCGCGGCACCTTGTGCGGAGAGAACGTGAGACGGTGGCTGCCGGACTGGTCCACGAAGCGTGTCCATGCGGCCGCAGGTGACACTAGATGTCCCTTAGGAGCTTTGCGGCAAACGGGGAGGGCGGGGCGCTGATCACTGGACCTGAATCCGCCCGCGGTGACCTGCAGGCGGCCGCCCTCCGGTACCTCTGCTCCGTCGGCGACGTCTACCGTCCGAGTGAAACTTCTCTCCGTCTTGTATGCGCTGCACAGCCGTGTCCCCGCCGCCAGGGGCTGAATACAACATTGAAAACAAGGAGTGCAAAAGAGGGATCAATACAAAAAAGTAAACATGTCAGTTTGAATTGTCAAGATTATTCCAGGGCAAGAGTTTATTTCCAATCACTGCTATGATTCACACGTGGCCCCGCCAGGACGCTCGTTCCAGTTTCCTCCTATTTAGCACTCGCTCTTTCAGCCCCTGCGTGGCGGGCAGGGTCCCAGCAGCACATCGCTGTGACATCCAAGGACTATCCAATGGGGGGGGGGTTGGCACCAGAGGGAGCGGCTTGCTCCCCCGGCACAGAATCAAAGTGTGTTTCGACCATGCAAAGACCTCCTGCTCCTCCCGGCGTGAGCCCTCCGGCCTCGGGCTCAGGCGGCTGAGGCCCCAGCGCGGGCCCCGCCGCCGGCCGCCGGGCGAGTCACAAGGCCACGCGCACGCAGTGGTGCCTGAGCTTGCAGGGCAGCACCCCCTTGTTGAGCTGGTAGAAGTCGACGAGCTGGATCAGGTCGGAGAACTTGGTGTTCCCGTCGTCCAGGCTGAAGAACACCTGTCCCTCCTCCTCACACTGCGAGACAAAAGACACTCCCAGGTTAGAGCCGCGCCGGCCGCCCCGCCCCGCCCCGCCCCGCCAGAGCGATCTCTGGGGAAGCTCCTTAAGCATCTCCCCCAGGGCGGGAGGTGCCCGCTGACTGCTCGCAGTCTGGTTAGTCTGTGACTCGGAAGCCGCGTTAAGAACAGAACCCGCGGAGAGGGCTGGCGGTGACATGGCTACTCACGGGTAAGATCTGGAAATTTTTGATTTTCTGGTGGTGGCTCAGTGTGAGCACGTACGCCTTGGGGTTGCTCTGGCTGTCGCGGACCAGGAAGAGCCTGGGAGGAAGGTGGCTGAGCGTCAGTGTGAAACCAGACTCGGCGCGCTCACATACTGATGCACACACACACACACACACACACACACGCACACGCACACGCTTCCCTCGTGGCCACGCGGCTGCGGGGTCTCAGGTCAGGGCCCACGTGCCCGGCCGAGGTTCCTCGCATCGCGCTGAGGACCCAGCTCCCTGGCACCCAGGGCCCAGCCCAGGGGAGGGCGCAGTGGGAACACTCGGTCTGTGGGGCGGAGAAGCCCTCCGAGGTGATGGTCAAAGGCGGCCTGGCCAGAGCTGGGGGGTGAGTGAGCTTGCAGGCCCGGGCCTTACTGATCGGAGTGGCTGCTGTCTGGCCTGCTCCCGTCAGCACAGGCGGGCACGGTAACAGCACGCAGATGGTGGCCCTCCCTGGGGACAGGCCTGTACACCCACAGGCCTGAGCGCCTTCGTCTGCTCAGCGAGGCTGTCCCTCTGCCTGTCCAGAGCGAGGCCTGGGCGGACCCCGCGCCACAGTGACGGCCCTCAGCACCTGCCCGCACGCTCACCCGTCCACCAGCCCCTGCTGCTTGATGATCCTGTGGGACTCCTCCCTGGAGATGCGGCCATGGAACCAGTGCTGGCTCTTGTGAATCACTGGGGGGGGGGGGGGGGGGGCGGAGAGGGGGAGAGAGAGAGGGAGGGTGAGTCCCCGCCCTGCACAGGGCTGCCCTGGGCACAGCCTTGTGGCTGGCGGCCCCTTCCTGAGGCCATGGACACCCTGGGTGGACGGTGTGGGGGGAGCGGACACCCTGGTGGACGGTGTGGGGGGAGCGGATACCCTGGGTGGATAGTGTGTGGGGGGGAGCGGACGCCCTGGGTGCATGGTGTGGGGGGAGCGGACGCCCTGGGTGCACGGTGTGGGGGGAGCGGACACCCTGGGTGCACGGTGTGGGGGGGAGGGTTGGGGGCGGGTTCCCTTGCGCACACAGCGGTCCACGTACCGGTGTTGAGGGAGGCATGAGCCAAGGGGCTGTTGCCGCCCAGGGCGCTCATCCTGGTGCTGCGTCTCTGCAAGGGAAACGCCACGTCAGTGCTGCCAGCAGCGGGCAGGCCGCCCACCCCGTCCACGCTGCTCAGGGCGCCTGCCGGGGGGACGGGGCCCGGCCGAGTGCCCGCGCCTGTCTGCCACGGAGAGTGTGGGGGTCGGACGGACCTCAGCAGAAACCACAGCCCACCCACCCCCGCTGGGGGCCTCCCGCACGCTCCGGCTCAGGAGCGCCGTGAGCCGGCTCAGCTTCAGGGTCGGGAACGCGAAGGGTGGAGCCGCGAGGCGTGGGCTCTGTGGCCCGCACACCCAGGCCCTGACACTCCTCAGCAGGGACCAGACGCCCCTGCTCCTGTCCTGGTCCCTCCTGGGTGCCAGGGGGCAGGAGGCAGGCGCTGCGGATGGTAATGTCGCTGCCACCTTCCCCCCTGGGGGCCCACACCAGCGCCCTGTGCGGGCAGCGAGGCAGGGGTCCCGGGGAGGGGCTGCTGTCTCTTACCCTCCAGGCGTGCCCCTCCTCCAGGGCTGCGCTCTCAGCCTCGTCGGGGTTGTCGATCACTCTCCCGGTCTGTCCGGAGAAGTCCATGGCCACGAGGGAGTTCTCAGAGACACTGCGCTGTAGGGGGCGGGGTGTGAGCACAGGAACTGCCGGGCACTCAGAGGGGGAGGGAGGCCCCTCTGAGGCGCGCTGGGCACTCAGGGCAGACAGATGGGCCTTCAGCTCCCATGGGCTTGGTCTCCTCAGACTGAGAAATGCCCCCTCATGTGGGCACATGTGAGCAGGGACACAGGGACAGCGCCAGGAAGGGCCACAGGCCTCGCAGACCGTGCGGTGGGAGGACGTGTGTCTGCATCTCTGGGGGGGCGGCGTGTCCGAGAACCAGGGCACCCTGTCCGCTCACAGCGAAGGACCCCGTGGCATGGCCAAGGGCGCCCCGGTCTCAGCCGGAAGCAAAGGGGCGAGGGCAATCCTCAGGGAGCCCGTGCCGCCTGCCACCGCACGGAGCATCCGCCTAACTGCCCGGGGCTGCGGGGCCGGCTTCCCTGGGACAGGCCTGAGCTGCACCCGCCCCATAACCCGTCTGCAGGAGACGTGGCGGCGGCTGGTGTGAAGAGCTGAGGGGTGGCCTGGCTCGGAGGGCGGCAGTCCACTTACCGCGGGTCCGGAGAGCGAGCTCAGGTAGGCTGGCTTTCTGTGGTTGGGGAGCCGATAGTTCTGGTAAAGGCTCATTCCATACTGCGGGCCAGAGCCAAAGGCAGAGTCAGTGCTGGGGGGGGGGGGGGGGAGGAGGGGGGAAGGGAAGGGGAGAGGGGAGGGGGAAGGGGAGAGTGGAGTGAGGAGGAGGGGGAAGGAGAAAGGGGAGGGGGAAGGGGAGAGTGGAGGGAGGAGGAGGGGGAAGGAGAAAGGGGAGGGGGAAGGGGCGAGTGGAGAGGGGAGGGGGAAGGGGAGGAGGGGGAAGGGGAGAGTGGAGAGGGGAAGGGGAGGGAGGCCCCTCAGAGCCCCGCACGTCCGGTTCACTTTGCTTTTCCCAAACAGGTCATACGTGTGCAGCCCAAAAACATCACTCAAGCACGGAGAACCCGCACCGTCTCCCCAGCTCTGCTCTCCCCACTGCCTCCTCCTCCGCCTCCAGCCCTACACCAGCCGTTCCCAGTGTGAGGCGCACATCCCCGGGGGCAACTGAACTTTTCAGTCCTCAGGCCGACGCTCTATCCACTGAGCCAAACTGGTTTCGGCCCACCGAAGTTTTAAGGAGGGCCATTCCAGGGGAAGTTATTCACAGTGATTTTTTTGCATTCTTATGGTTCTTGGGGCCTCAGTAACAGTATGTAAATATATACTGTGGCATATTTATGCCTGCATTTTGAAACTTTATTTGCTGTTTTTCCATTTCACTTCATATTATTATTTTTAAACAAGTTCTTAGTGAGTCCTCCCTCAGGACTCCCCCGTCCTTTGTTCTCGCACTTCTCTCTCAGGGGTGCTGTGCTCTTTGGAAGCGTGTGCAGACCACACCCCTGGCCTTTCAGGCTTCCTCCCGGGAGCAGGCTCGCCTTCGGGATAACTGGGATTGAGTGTCGGGGCACCGGGATTTCAGATGCTTGGGGGAGCGTGGGCAAAGTGGGGGAGCACAGAGGTCTCCGCCCTCTTCCCAGTGCTGCTCTGGGCACACTGCTCCTGGCTCTTTGCTGAAGTTCCCTCTGTCTCCACAGGGGGACCCCGCGAGCTGCTCCTGCCCTGCGCTGCAGAGCGCTTGTGGCTGGGGTGGGCGCCCGCAAACTCTCCCCGCAGCCCTGAGGGGCAGTGAGCTGGGACAGTGGCCTGGAAGGCGCGGACCCCCCACCTCAGCACCGCCTTCCCAGGCAACAGTACAGCATCACTGCAGACCCTCTTTGTCCCCTCAGGGGCCAACATCACACAGCCGGCTTCTGGGGCGGGCTCCTCCTGGGCGTCTCGAGGGGGGGGGTCTGTGCCCACCTCCGCTGCGCCTGCTTCTCCAGCGGCTGCACCGAGTCTGCGCAGCTGCAAGCGGCAGTGGGGCTGGGGGCTCAGTGACGGGATTCCTGGACCACGCCCTGTGCTGGCACCGGGGCAGCGAGCAAACTTCCCTGCAGATCCCTGCTCCCCCAAGTTCCTCCTGATCCACTAACTCGCATGGGCTTTGTGAGCACAGGGCTGGGAGACCGGGGCCCGAGGGCTGTCTGCTCAGATGTCTGTGGGGATGGAAGCTGAGGGGGGTCCCCACCCCAGGCGCGCTGTGGCCTCTCTGAGAAGCTGCTGTCGGGGGTACGATTCCCAGCCCCTCAACTTCCTTCAGAACTTGCTGCCTGGCCACCACTCGGTGTGCTGCCGAGTCACTGTGCCTGGGGACCCCCACCCTCGGGCAGCGGGAGTCTGAGAGTTGCAGAGAAAGCAGTTCATCCTCCTGCGAGCTCCGTGTGTCCCGACTCCTGGTCCTTCTCTCTCCCCCTTCTCCCCCTCGTCCCTCTCCCCCCACCCTGGCCCCGGTCCTCTCTGCCCCCATACCCGGGCACGGTGGTAGTGCCTAGAGGCACTCACGTCGGCTCACTGGACGGGGCACCAGGGCACCGAGCGGGGAGATGAGGGATGCTACCGTCCCGCCTGCCCGGGCCCGGGTCGGCCACTGGCTCTGCCCTCCCTGGGAGCCTCCGGGAGAAGCTCCCAGACCCCGTGGGCAGGAGGGTGGCGACCCCCGGCAGCGGCCGGCCGGCCGGAGCCGCCGGGCGATGCCGCACGGACGCACGTACCTTGAGCAGGCGGAAAGCGGTTATCCAGCAGAGGCGGCCCTGCTCGTCCTCCGCGCACAGCACCCGCAGCTCCTTTGTCTCCTGCAGCACTTTGTTCGGCTTTTAAAGGAGGTGAAGGAAGACGTGGTGAGTGTCCACAGCCAATCAGAAGGCCGCCCCGGCCCCCGGCAGGACGGGAGGGACACACACACACAGATTGGCTGGGCGCCCCGCAGGGGCCCTGACCCACCACGCCTTCCCCGGGGCCGCCGAGCTCCTCAAGGACGGACCCTCCTAGCGCCCAGGAAAGCTTTCCACACGGGTGAGGTGCCCAGCGTGAGACCAGGCTGCTGGCTTCAGAGAAGCAGCAAGCAAGCCGCCCAGCCGGGTTCCGAAGTGGCCAGCGGGGGCGGCAGCGGCCGGGCGTACCTTGAGGCAGAAGCCGAACTCGGTGGGGGTGTGGTACTGCTTCTTGCCGGAGATCACCGTGAAGACGCTGCAGTCCTCCAGGTCGGCCAGCAGCTGCAAGTGCCTGGGCTCCTGTGAGGCGGAGGCAGCGTTAACCAGGACCGGCTGTTCCCGTCCTGGCCAACAGAGGGCAGGCTGCGCGCCTCCCGCAGACATTCCACAGGGCAGCCACGTGGAAGAGAATCCCTAAGTTAAAACCAGCGTCGCCCTGCCCCCACCAGAAAGCCCTCCCCATTCCCAGACAGAAGACTGAGGGAATGCATTGGCACTCTGCCAAGCCAGAGCCCCAGAACCAGATATTCAAACTGCAAAGGGGGTGGGGGGACTCCGAGCCCAAAGGTCAGAGTTAAGAGCACAGGCTCCAAGGCAGGTCCCATCCACTCCCTGTGTGTCAGACTCCACCATGCCTGCAGCTCCCACCTTCCGGCCCCATCCTCCCTCAGTCTGCCTCCAGCTCGGGGCACACAGGCCCCTAGGCTCTGTCTCCCAGGAGGGGGGGGCCAGACGCCAGAGCTAGGCGCTGGGAAAGTGACTGCCCATCTCCTCTCATCTCCATCCCCACCCCCATCCCCACCCCCATCCCCATCCCTATCTCCTCCTCCATCTCCTCCTCCATCTCCATCTCCTCCTCCATCTCCTCCTCCATCTCCATCTCCTCCTCCATCTCCATCTCCTCCTCCATCTCCATCTCCATCTCCTCCTCCATCTCCATCTCCATCTCCATCTCCTCCTCCATCTCCATCTCCTCCTCCATCTCCATCTCCTCCTCCATCTCCATCTCCATCTCCTCCTCCATCTCCATCTCCATCTCCTCCTCCATCTCCTCCTCCATCTCCTCCTCCATCTCCTCCTCCATCTCCATCTCCTCCTCCATCTCCATCTCCATCTCCTCCTCCATCTCCATCTCCATCTCCTCCTCCATCTCCATCTCCTCCTCCATCTCCATCTCCATCTCCATCTCCATCTCCATCTCCGTCTCCATCTCCATCAGAGGCCAGACGCTTCTCGCAGAGGAAGGAGGCCTGCCACCCACTGCCTTCTCTCTGGCTCCCCGGCCCCCAGTCCCCCGACACCCCTGGAGCAGCAGGAAATCGGGCTGGTGCTTAGCACCCTCACCTGCCCTCTTCCCAGTGGGGATACATGCAAAATGGCACTGATCCCTTCAAATATCTGTCACGGCACTCAGTGGCTGAGCCTGAGGTGGGAGGGGCGCAGCCTGCAGGTTCCAGTCTGTGTGGTCACCCGCGGTCTCAGCCAGTGCACAGGGAGCCAGGAGCCCCAAGGGACCCGGGAGCAGGCAGAGGGAGACCCCGCGCACTCGGCAGCGCCTGCCTGCCTGCCGTGGCGTGGCCGGCGTGCCGTGGCCTGGCCGGCGTGCCGTGGCCTGGCCGGCGTGCCGTGGCGTGGCCGGCGTGCCGTGACCTGGCCGGCGTGCCGGCGGGGAGCGCACCTTGGAGGAGCCCTTGGTGGAGCAGTAGAGCCCGGAGCGGCGCAGGCACAGGTACATCTTCTTCCAGGACTTCCGCCCCAGCTCCTTCACCTGCAGGAAGCCCTGGATCTCGGGGCAGCTGCTGGTGTTCAGGAAGTTCTGTCAAAGGCGGATGTGGAGTCAGGGGATCGGGCACGGTTACAGAGGCGCCATCAGCTTCTGACATCCTAACGCGCTCTGAACAACTGAAGCACTGTTTCTGAGACTTTTCAAATGATAAACTCCCTCTTCAAATCCTCACCGTTCTGTCCGACTGGCTTATGTGGTTTACGTGGACCTTGACTGCAGCTAGAGCACAGGCCCCCGTTTCCTGTGTGCCAGCCTCCGCCAGGTCTGCCCACAGCCCCCCACGCCAGCACCGGCGGGAAGTGCTGAGGGCCCGTGGGCATCTGCACACCAGCTCTCCCCGGACCCCTGGGCGACAGCCCGGCGCCCACTGACCTCCTCCCGAGAGAGGCCCGGCCGCTGGGTTGCAGCCGGGAGGGACCGGACTGAGTGGGGACCCGTGGACAGTTCGGGTGCTCCTGGGCCAACCCTCCTGGAGCCACTTCCGATCAGGCGGTAAAGCGGCCATCAGCCTCTGGGCCTTGCTGTGCTGGGGCCATGGGGCCTGGGGAGAGGCCTGCAAAGGGCTCCCAGGCTCTGAGGCTCCTCTGGGGGCTGAGACGCCAGTGGTGACCAACCAGCAGAAAAAGAGGGCTGGGGGCTGCATCCCCCCTCCCCTCCCCGGCTCCTCTTACACTGGGTGGGGCGGCAGCAGGGCTGCACATGCATTTAGGGGCAGCAGGGTCCCCTCTTCTGCTCCCGCCTTCCCTGGAGCAGCACAAGCCTCCTGAGGCAGTGCTCCCCCGCTGCAGGCCCGCAGGCCCGCGCTTTACCAAGCAGGACCCTTAGCCGAGCATGCCAGGGGCTCCGTGATGGGCTGAGAGCCCTCGGCCTCCCTCCTGCCTAGCCCCCTCCGAGCCACAGCAAGTGTCCTGCCCCAGGGCCTTTTCACGCTGGAGCAGCTGCCTCCAGCGGATTGCCCAGGTCAGACGTGTTCTCTAAACTCCATTAAGAACTGAGGCTGACCCATTAAGAACGAAATTGCTCCAAGTTTTTGCGAGGCTGTGGCAGCTCGAGGGAAGAGTCCGGTCTGGGACCCTGAGGCCCACTGGCCCTGTACCTGCAGCATCTGGTTCTGACCCCCGTTGGATTGCTGGCACCAGGTGACCATCTGGTCCGGGAAGAAGTTCTGAGGAGCGGAGACAGACACGCGCAGTCAGTGTGAGGCGGGGAGAGCACGCTCACAGGTGTGCAGGCTGGCCCTGCATTGTGCCTGCCTCTGTCCCCGGGACACACGGAGCGCCTAGTGCTCTGTGCCTGCTGGGCCGCACAGGAACGTGCGCTCACGCCTCGGTGGCACCGACCAAGTCCCGGCATGAGCCACGCCACTCCGGAAGCTCGGAGAGGGGTGGACAGCATGCACAGCCTGTTTGGGGGGCACCATTTCTTACTCCTGCGTGAAGAGCAATGAAGCTCCGGAGACCCCTCTGCATTTCACCAGACAGCACTACCCCCTCATCCCCCCAAAAACAGAAAAGCCAAGACACACCACGAGAGCAGCCAGCACGCCTGGATATTAACTTCCCTACTCGCCTTCCCAGATAATCACAAGGCGACATCTGCTACTTGGGGGAATAAGCTCTCATTCTGCTGAGTCTCGGGCACCCTGCTCAGGCAGAGCCGCGCTCCCAATCCCCCTCCCTGCGGAGAAGGCACCGAGGGAAGGGCTTCGTTCCTCCGCAGCCCAGGCCCTGCCCGCTGCCCGCTGCCCCGGGTCCCGTGATGCTCTGCTCTGCTCCCATGAAGCCCCGAGTTCCAGCCCAGGCTGAGGAGGCAGGACTCACGTTGGGGTTCTTGAAGAACTCGTATTTGCCGTAATTCTTCCTGAACAAAAACTTGCTCTCGCCGGCCATGGTGCTGTCCACCTGGGCCACCAGCTCATGGTCTTCCACACAGCGCTCTGGGGAGAAGCGTCTCGTGAGAGAAGGGAGGGGGACACGCAGGACCCTAGGACAGCTTTGCACACAGCCACATCTGGCCGGCTTCCCTGCCTCGGACAAGGCGAGCGAGCGAAGAGGTGGCCAGAGCTCCATGCCCATCTCCCTCTAAGCCCTGCTGCGTGCAGGGGCGGTGAGACCTGGACAGGAGTGGACACTGCGTGAGGAAGACACACCACCTCCCAGCAAAGGCTGTGCCTCAGCTCAGAGGGGCCCGCTCTTGCTGAGCAACAGCCACCACAGCTGGAGCCACGCACAGACAGCAGAGCACGGCCCGGGGCGTGTGTGGGGGAGAGGGCAGGGCACGAGGAGCAGAGGGTACGGGAGGGAGAGAGGGGACCCGTGGGGAGAGAGAGAAGGGGACCCGTGGGGAGAGAGAGAAGGGGACCCGTGGGGAGAGAGAGAAGGGGACACGTGGGGAGAGGGAGAAGGGGACACGTGGGGAGAGAGAGAAGCGGCGGGGGACACGGCGCTGTGCATCTGGGTGTGTGTGTGTGTGTGTGGCTGCATGCGGAGCCGCAGGCGCGTCCTCACCGATCCCCAGGTGAGGGTGGTACTCCACCAGGGACCAGGTGTTGTCGTCCACACAGTGAGTGCGGTACACCAGCAGCTGGCACAGGTCCCGGGACTTCATGTCCACTGGAATCTCCACCACTTTGCATGTCCCGTCCTCACCGAAGATCTTAACATCCTGCAAAGACAGGGGCGCTCACAGTGAGTAACTGGGCATCTGCCTGTTGGTCTTGTTTTCACTGTGAAGACTTTTATCATCCAAACTTCTGGCGAAGGAACGCTAATGCCACGGAGCATGTCTTTGTTCAGGAGCCCGTGTCGGGTGCTGCAGCCCTGGAGCCACCACGGCACCCGGCCGTTTCTGAGGAGACAGCGCAGGCCGACTCAAAAAGCCGAGTCTGGATGGGACTGGTTTGGCTCAGTGGATAGAGCGTCGGCCTGCAGACTGAAAGGTCCCGGGTTCGATTCCGGGAAAGGGCATGTACCTTGGTTGCGGGCACATCCCCAGTGGGGGGTGTGCAGGAGGCAGCTGATCGATGATTCTCTCTCATCGATGTTTCTAACTTTCTATCCCTCTCTTCATCTCTCTGAAAAATCAATAAAATATAATAAATAAATAAATAAAAAAGCTTAAAAAAAAAAGCTGAGTCTGTTTTTAAGTGAGGTACAGAAAAGGAAAAGGAAACTTAAAAGGTGGATTTTTAAAAAATATATTTTATTGATTTTACACAGAGGGGAATTGAGAGCTCAGGACAGAGAGTTAGAAACATCAATGAGAGAGAAGCATCGACCAGCTGCCTCTTGCACTCCCCCCCCCCCCCCCCCCCCGGGGATGTGCCTGCAACCAAGGTACATGCCCTTGACTGGAATCAAACCTGGGACCTTTCAGTCCGCAGGCCGACGCTCTATCCACTGAGCCAAACCGGTCCCGGCAAAAGGTGAATTTTTAAGAAATAAAAACTGAACAAAATAAAACAGAAAAAGGCCTGAGGTGCTCCAACATATGTATATCTGTCCAGCCTAGCAGCTTGTCTGTGGAGTGTCGCCCGGCTCCTGCCCACCACCTCCCCCTGCCCCCTGGCCTCGTCACCCCTGCCCCGAGAGCCAGGAGCCCAACAGGGCACTCTTAGTGTGCCCGAGACACTCAGGACAAGACCACGGCCAGGCCGGAGGGACACAGGGCTTCCCCGGGTGCCATCTTGAAGCAGGATGCGTGCCAAGGACGCCGGTGGCCTGAGTGAGGCACTTCACGGTGCAGCCAATTGAAAAAGCAGATGCCGCCGCCGCAGCAGAATCCCTGCTCCTGTGCTCCACTGCCCTTGCTGCCGGGGCCCAGCACACCCACCCCCACCTTCTCACACCTCATGTCCATTAAGGCTTAGGAACAAGCTGATATCGATTAGTATCGATACACTGAAATGTGAAATACTGAAAAGAAGGGTGTAGTACAGTCACAACGCTTTGGCCCCATCCCCTGCAAATGACGGGCAAGCAAGGGCCCCAGGGAAGACGGGAGGCTGGGAAATGTACTCTGTCCAGCAGCACACCCCCAGCCTCTCGGGGAACGTGAGCTGCTGAAAAAAATCTCCCCCCAGCAGCCTGGAAAGAGCAGCCAGAGGAACAAGATGGCATTCTAATACTTGCTGCCTCCTGAAAGGGAGTCTGTCCCGGCCTCTCCCACCTCCTGTGGGCTGGGCTCTGCCGGCCCACCAATCCTGGCCTTGGGGAGCGGAGGGCAGGCTGTCTCCAGGCAGGCAGGCAGTGGGCTGCCCAGGCTCCTGGGCTCAGTCCTCTAGGTGGTAAATCAAGCCACCTGGGCAGCCAATCAGGTCCCTCCTGGGCCTCTGCACCCGCCCCCTGGCTCCCACTCCATGGAGGCGGAGGGGCCTGCAGAGGTGGAGGTGTCCGCTCCCAGAGAACCCAGCTCAGAGCAGAAGGCCAGGGTCCCTGCGCCGCCCGCCGAGTGAGCGCGGGAGCGTGCGCTGGGCCCTGCTCTTGGCCGAGTCTCTCAGAGGCCGGCGCCTCGTGCCCCCGTCCCGCCGCACTGGCCAGGGCTCTGCCCGGTCACCTTTCTCCCGCTTCCCTGACCCCAGAGCGCACTTTGCCTGTTTACTTCTAGCGACAGGCCTCTGGCAGGAGAGGGCTGAGTGGGACCAAGGCCCACTGTCCCAACCCCCACCGCTCCTGGCCAGGAAGGAGTTAACTCAGCCCTGAGCTCCGAGAGGGGGAGGGGCAGGCTGTGGGCCTGGGGACCAGCCTCCAGGTGGGCGGTCACCCTGCAGCCTGCTACCTCTCAGCCACCCCCCATTTCAGAAACCTGGGGCCCTGGAGCAGGGCTGTGGAGCCTGCTTTCAATGCACATTAACTTCCAAAGGAATTCACCCATCTTCTCCCAGAACTTACATTTCACTTAGCGGGACTTACACTTTTATAAAACAATTACATATTCAAACACAGCTGACAGGATGGACTCTATAAAAATAAAACTTTTAAAATGAAGAAAATACTTCTTTGGATTCTACATAAAAACTTTTTTTTAAAAACTGCCTTCACAAAAATCAATCAATAAATCAATCAATGAATAAAACTGCCTTCACATAAAAGAAAAATTAAAAAATGCAAACAAGGTCACATAATTCCTTATTGTGTAATAATTAATAATGTGCTAACTGTATTACAGGCCACGGCCTCTACGCAGATCATCTTTTCAAATACAACACCAGCGTATTCCTAATTTCCCTTCTTTCCTAACTTCCTATGAGTATCATCTGTGATTACAATGAATGTTATTTTTCCTCCAAATTCAAATAATGCTGAAGGGTGGTTGCACCTAGGAGCCCTTCATCACTCTTCCTGTCCAAACTGGCCCTGGGCCTTTTACCTCTTCTCCCCCGCCCCCCCCCCCCCCCAGCTCTCTCCTGACCCCCTGCTGTGCCAGGCCCGTGGTCTATATATAGTCTGGGCATTAAAGCTGAGACGTGCTTTGTCACAGGGCCATGTCCACTGATTCCCAGAGCGGGCTGGGCTGGGACCGCCCGGGGGGCAGGGGGCGGGCCTGCTGCGGTCTGTGGCCGAGACAGACAAAGGGACGCATGGTCCGGCCACACGACCTGGAACCCGTGCCGCCTGCCCGGCCCCTGATGCAGGGCACGTCTGACAGAAACGTAGACCGGCAGCTTCGAAGTGGGCAGGGGTGGGAGCTGAGACGGGGTTTCTGACAACCACACAGACACACAGGGAATGCGCGGGAGCAGGCGGCCACGGGCCACCAGGCCTGCCGAAGCCACAAGTTCTGGAGGGAGCATGCGCCCCAGCCACAGGGGCTCATTGTGGAAGCAACCAGAGTGGCCCGGGCTTCAGTGCCCAGCCCGGGGAGGGCTGCTGGGCAGGCTGCACCGTGAGGCTGCGCAGGGCGGCCCGGCACGGCTCCAGCGAGCTGGGGCAGGTCTCGGCGTGGCACCCCTTCCCAGGGGTGACTTGTCCAGGGAGCAGAGGCCCAGGTGATGTTGGGGGGAGGGAGGGAAGAGGAGGAGGGCAGACTCCCAGGGCCAGCCCGCCTCAGCGGCTGCCTGGCTGTGTGATCTCAGGCAGGTGACGGACGAACGGAGCCAGACGGAGCCAGGCCTCCATGCCCTGGGGCTGCTGGGAGAGCCAGCAATGACTGGGAAGCACAGAGTTCCACGGGTGGGACCTGCAGAGGCTCCATGCAAACAGCTGCAGGAGCCGGGCTGAGTGACCCTCCGCTCTGTGCCTCAGCCTGCTCATCTGTAAAATGGGACCCTGTGAGTAACAGTGGCTCACGATGTCAGCTGGGCCTAAGGACAGCCACTGTTTCCGCCCCCTGGGGTGCACTCGAATGCAACTGGGGACACAAGGCAGGCACATGGGAGAGGCCCGGGCCCTCTGACTCTGCATCCGTCTGAGCCGGAGCACGTTAGCGGGCAAAGCAGACCGAACTCCGGCCTTTCCCCGCTGCAGTCACCAGCGGCTAAGGGCCTTTCACAATGAAAGTGATGTTAAATAGGGCGCGTGATGTCACACAGTGCCTCTCCAGTCAGGTGGGGGTAGTGACTGCTCCCGGCCCGCCTCCTGCTGGGCGTGGCGGGCTCCCTGGCGCGGAACCCTGAGCCCCAGGCGAAGCATGCCGCCCTGCCCAGGGTGCTGGGCTGCTTTTCAGACACTCCTCTCACAGAGCGAGAGGCAGAAGCACGTGTGTGCAAATGGAGAGGCAGGAACTCGGTAACAATCAGGGCAGAAGGCACATGATCTCCAAGCCCCACACTGCATTCTGGGAAGCCTGTTTTGTTTTGTCTCAGGGTCCCCAACAGGTGGACTCCCGCTTCAGGCCTGACACACCGAGCCTGTGAATCTCGGACCTCGGGGCTCTGGCCCAGGCTGCCTGGTCAACACGGAAATGGGCTCTTGGCTCCTCGCCCCAGTGCCACCCAGCCGCCGTGCGGAGGGGGCCGGGGGAGGGCCTGGGAGCGCCCGGCCAGCTCTCAGCCTTCCTTCTCATCACCTCCGAGGGAGGACGTGAGCCAGACCCTGTCACTCGGAGCCTCTTGTAAAAACGGGGGACAGATGCTTATGGAGGAGCCTACCTGGGACCTAGCAGCCAGGAGGGGACCCCGGAGGGGCTGGCGGGGGCAGGAGGCTGACTGCCAGGGGGCAGCTGAGGGAACTTGAAGAGCGTCAGCTGCGCCTGGCAGGTGGAGGGGAGGGGCCGCTGGGACTGCCAGGCCATGCCAGGGCCCAGCGTGCCCTGCAGGCAGCTGTCGCTGCCCCCCCCCCCCCCCCCCCGATGAGGTAAGGAAATCTGGGAGGCAGATGGCTTTCCGGTCCCGGAGATGGCTCGTGGGGGCCACAATTGGCTGCTGGCCCCTCTTCCTGCCAAGAGGGACCCCGGCTTCCCAGGACACGCCAGGTGGCTCACCCTAGGGTGCCCTGGAGGCCCAAACGGGGCAGGCCTGGCACGTGTGGGAAAAAGTAAGTTTACGTCAAACGGAGCAAACCAGGCTCAGGCTAGCTGGCTTTGGTGAGGAAATGTTGTTCCACTGGTGTCTCCACGTCAGCAGCGCTGCTGCGAGACGTGAGGCCTGAAGGGGAGCTGCTCCCGTGGGCACGTGGCTCTGATCACAATCGCCCTCCTGCCCGGCCTCCTGGCTCCGGCCGGCTCTAAAGAAAGAGCCGCCTTACCGCCTCCCCCCACGAGGCTCCGTGAGAATGGAAGTGGGGAGTCTGCAAGTCCCTCCTAAAAAGTTAAAGCTCTAAAAATAGCTGATAAAGTACTTCTTGGAAGTCAGCCACGGCTTCAGAGTCCCTGGGCGGCTGCCCCGGAGGAACGAGGCTCACCACCAGGGCGGCGACAGGGCCCCAGCGGGGGAGGCCCGCCGGCCTCTGCCTGCCCGTCCCCAGCAGGGGGGCTTGCTTGGAAGAATCAATTCTGACCCGTTCGCATCTGTAAACTTTCCCAGAGTGGCTGTGTGCGGCGTGCTAGGTGACAACGGCGGTTTCAGAAAGGTGCTCTGCAGGAAACGGCAGCAGAGCGTCCCGAGGGAGGGGCAGGCCCCTCCCCCTCCCCCTCGGAGCTGAGTGCAGGGTGCGGCTGCCCTCCAGGCCTCAGCTTGCTCACAGGGGCACAAGTGCCACCCCAGCTAGTCTGCAAGGTACTCTCAAGGGCTCCTAGTGGGGTCCCCGCCAAGCATGGGCAATGCCCTCTAAACTTGGGGTCCCCACCACACGCTCAGGGTCCCAGCCCGAGGGCCTTCCCAGTGGCACATGCGGCAGGAGGGGCAGCAAGGGCGCCTGTTGGTGTGGGCCCACGTGCTGGCGAGGCTGTGCTCACATCCCCCCCTCCCCCCAGCTATCCAGAGTGAGCGGGCGTGGGGCTGTTGCAGCTGCTGCTGAGGACTTGTCCGTGGCCAGCCCCTGGAGGAGGGGGACAGGCTGCAGCGCCCCCAGGGCTGGAGCTGGGGCTCTGGTGCAGCTGCCTGGGCTCGCCAAGCCAGGGCTTCTCGCGAAGAAGGGAGAGGCAGGGGCACAGGGCCCCCCCGAGATGCTAAGGAAAAGAAACCGTCTTGGTTGAACCAACTCCTCAGAGAGTTAGTAACTAAACGTTCCATTTACATATTGTAATCTTAAAAGCCAACAAAAATGGTTTATATTCTTTCTCTAGAAAATCGTCCAGGGAAGCCACATGACTGGCTGTGGCCGCCAAAAAGCGAGGCAGGATTTCAGTGATCCCTCCCTCCAAATTCCAGAGGAGAGGGGGGGCGGGCCGCGCAGCTGCAGCAGCTGCTCCCAGCAGGGCCACGTGTGCAGGCCGCAGCCTGGAGGTGTGGAGGGAGGCCCGCGGCTGGGAGAGGGCTGGGTGGGGAGAACAGGGGAGCGATGGGGAGCGGGAGCGGGGGGTGCAGCACGCACTGACTGAGTCATCCCCTGGCCCCTGCAGGGTGGGGCCGTGGGTGGTGAGGAAGGGGCAGCTGTCCACCCATCACTCACAGAAGCAGGCAGCCAGGGGAAGGCAGGAGCGGGAGCCAGCTGGGGGGGCGAGCAGAGAGGATTTTGTGTTCTGAAATGGCAGGGACATGCTGATGTGTCTCGGGCTGACCCTGGATCTGGGACGGCCATCATGACCATTCCGGGACACAGCTGCTCCTGTCCTGTGGGAGCCCGCGCCCTGCTCCCCGGGATCCTGGCAGACACAACCCGTGACTCCGCCGAGAGTCCAAACATGGGGAGCAGCACCCTGCTCCCCCACTCAGGGCCCCCAGTGGCCCCCAGCACCCGGGCTCAGCGTCAGTGGCCCCAGGTTCCAATGGCTCTGACCCCGAAGGCACCAGGAAGGCGGTGGGCACACTCTGCGGGGCTAAGAACGAGGGCTGGGGGCCTGGCATGAGGGCGGGAGGGGGGCACCGAGGAAGGAGGACAGTCTGGCTCCAGGATGGCCACGGGGGCCCCGTCGCCTCCACACCGCACTCGCGGGGACGTAGCCTGTACTTGGCAACCAAGGGCGGTTTTTCTCGCCAAAGATGGCCTGACGTCGAGGCCCATTCATTAAATCTTCAAGCCTCGGGAGACCCAATTTTGCTCGTTAGTAAATGCCCGTCAAAGCCCTACGCAAGGCAATTAATTCACTTCCAGAAAATTAATTTTTAAAATTAAGCAGAGAGAGAGGAGCTGATTTGGAGCGAAGACAGTATTCACGCCCTATTAACAATGGGGTTAACATATGTGACTAATTGCGTTTACAAAACAAGCGGGGAACTTGCTGCCACAAGTCACCGCAGGGCTGCACGAGGCCCTCTGGCTGGAGACCCACCGACCACGCGGCCGAAGCCGAGTGCACGGCTCCCACCGCTGCAGAAACCCGGGGTCCCCGTGCGTCCCTCCCCACCCCCCACCTCCTGGCCACCAGGCCGCTCGCCCCCTCACGGTGTCTCTGCTTCCTCCGAGTGTGGCTGTCCCTGCCGCCGGGCACCAAGACCACACTACACCCTGCTGGGACACGTTTCTCCCTCCACCACGTCTCGCCTGTGAGACCCTGGCCCACTCCCGGGCGTGGGGCCGCCTCCCTGTGAAGGGGACCGGGTTCCAGACCATGGAGCCCGGCTGCCCCGGCCTGTCTCCTGCCCAGATCCACTTCCTCTCCACTGCAGCCACGAGGGCCTCCCGTTTCCTGCAGCCACACCAGCCCGGACACCAGCCCGGACACAAGCCCGGGCCCTGCCTGCTTAGGGAGGAAGCCCAGCCCCAGCGGCGTGGGGGCCGGGGGCGCGGCGGGGGCTAGCCGCGGCGTCCCCTCCCAGCACCTTTCCGGGGCCCCAGGGCCTCCGCCAGGGAGACAGCCCTGGCATGGCGTGGGCCTGCAGGCTGGGCCCTGGAGTGGTGACCAGGCTGCGTGCTCGGACTTTGTGTGCAAAGAGGCAGGACGTCAAAGTCCCCTTCTTCCCTCAGGCACGTGGCAGAGGAGGAGCCGGCCTCCTTGCCCATCACAGTCCCAGGGGGGCTGGAACCCATGCCGCTGCCCATCACGACCCACAGCGCCACTGCTCTCCGCCAGATCAGCTCGAACCCAGAGCGCAGAGCATCCCTCCCTCCGAGGAGCACTACTTGCAGCCGGCTCCCTGCCTGCCGGTCTCCAGAGCCAGAGGCGTCTGTGCGACAGAAACACAGACACCAACACGACGTTCTCATGGGCAACTAGCACCGACCCAGGGAAAGCAGCAGGCAGGTTCCTGGTTCCCCATTCTGCCTCGAGCTGGACAGTGCGGGCGGAGGCACGGGCCTGCCAGCGCCGGGAGCCGGAGCGTGTCTGCACGGCTGAACTCCAGGATGAGCAACCCTGTCAGCAGCCTCAGTGACCAGCCACAGACAGCTTATCTAGCGCTTATTTGAAGCAGGAGGTCACCAGGGAGGCAGACGTCCCGCGTGGACTGGAGGCATGTGACAGAGGGCCTCGGCCTGGCAGCTCTGGCCCCATTCGGGCCTTACCTCACCCTCTAAGTGCTGACGGGAGGACAACGCGGCCCGTTTGGAGGCGTGAGGTCAGAATGGGGGCAGAGCTCGCAGCTGGCGAGCGTCAGGAGAAACGCCTCCGCACGGCGCGCCTGCCCCTGCCTCGCATGGGACAGAGGGCTTTCGGGGCGCAGGGACTGGGGTGCATCAGCCTTCACGGCAAACGTGGCAAAGTCCCAAGAGAGCAGAAGGGGATGATTCTAGCAGAAAAGGCAAAGGGACTTCTGAAACACTGCTGCTGAAAAGAAAGAACCTCAGGGCCCAGTTAAAACCGGGGGCTCTGGAGCCCAAAGTCAGGATGCACCCCAAATCAAACACCCACACTGGGTCACATCAACCCCACCATTCACACCCGGTCCCATTCAAGTTCCACTCAATTAGAGGTGGGCCTCAGTTCCCCTGCTGCAGAGAGAGAACACTGTACCTACCTCTTAGGTTGTGTTGAGAAACAAATAAATATATGAACACACAGAGAATAAGCCACTTAGAACAGGGCCTGGCAGAGAGCCCTCAGTGACAGTTAGGTGCACCTGAGGTCAGGGTAGTTTGTCATACTTATTCCCCCCGCCCCCCAACACTCACACACAGAACATCCTGGGCCTCCCTCCGAGCCTGGGACCCAACTTGGCCCAGGCCCTGCCAATCAGAAGGGACAGAGCTGCCAGTCCATCGCGGACGAACGGGTTACTGGTGCCTTGGTCTTGGGCACGTGACTGGCACTCTCTGCCTCGGCTTCCTCCCTGGGAGACGACGACGCCCGTTCGCTCGGCACAGGCTACGTCAGTGGAGTAAGTACTGGCTCAGGAAAGTGGCTGTGTTCCATGGGCCAATGAACACCCTTCCCGGAGCAGATCACATTCAACCAGGGCTGTTCCATGGACACTGACGGGCAGGGGCCCGAGAGCCCAGCCCGGAACCCCTCGTCGACCCACCAGGACCGGGTCCCAGATCACGTGGCGGTGGCACGGTTCAGAAAGCTAAAACTCACTCTTCAGAAACAAACTGCTGTCATTTTAAAAGTCGTTTGTATGGGGCTCCTTCTAAAACACAGATACATCGTTGACTTAATAAACGAAACAATGGGCAACACGTTAAGAAGTCTCGCAAGGCAACAAGCAAACCTGCCAGAGGAAAAGGCTGAGAGGCCTCCCAGGGTCTCTCCCTCCTCCCCAGCAGCCTGCGCCCAGCCCGGGCCACTCACCTTCTTCGCCGGAGGCTGGCTCGGAATCAGCAGCGGGCCTGGGCCCGAGGCAGAGGCTGAGGCCGAAGCTGAGCCTGAACCCGCGCCCGCGCCCGCGCCCGCACCCGCGCCCGCCTGGAGCGCCGAGGGGCCGTCCTTTTTGCCGAGCTCCGGGAAAGGATTGGGGATGGCCGGCAGCGACGAGGTTTTCAGCTGCTGGTCTTCCTCCTGCAGGCGCCTGCGGGGAGAGGCGAGCACTGGTCAGAAGCTGCCGCGGACATGACCCGGCAGTCCCACTCCTGGGGATACACGCAGACACAGAGGCACTCAGATAGGTAAGTAAATACGGGGAGGTCACAACAGGACTATTCACAACAGTCAAAGGCAGAAGCAACCCGCCTGTCCACCGACGCATGAATAGATGGCAAAACGGGCCCATCCACAGAAAGGGGAAGTTACTCAGTCTCGGAGAGGGACAACATTCTGACACATGCTATGACATGGATGAGCCTGGAGGACACTTGGCTAATTGAAAGAAGCCAGTCACAAAAAGACGAATCCTATGTGAGCTCACTCCTCAGCAAACTCAGAGACAGGAAGTGGAAAGTGGGTGCTGGGGTCTGGGGAGGCAGATGGGGCACTCGTGTTGCATGGGGACAGATTTGATTTTGCAAGATGACCAGGTTCTGGAGACTGGTTGGATGACAATGTAAAGAGGCGTAGCACTGGAACTGTCCCCTTAAAAATCTCCAGATGGTAGAGCTGAGGTCGTGTGTTTTGCCACAATTGAATGTTTTGGAAAAGCTACCATCTCAGACTCAGGGGGAAAGACTCCCCGACTCGGGTGAAGCGCCGGGCGCACGCCTGTGGCAGACGAAGCCGTCGCGCTTGTGTTCCAGGAAGACCTGCCGCGCGGAGAGGTTTTGTGAATAAGGGCATTTTCACGAGCACAACTACTTTCCGATGACCTTGAATGAGCACTTCTCTGACCCACTGCAAGCATTCTAAGAGACTTCCTGCATCCTCCTCTGAATGCGCGTTACACAAAGAGGCTGCTGATACTGAGCTAATTGGAAGGAAAGGCTGCACGTGGCGGTCCCCCCTGCAGCACAAAAGCCCGGTCCGCGCCGTCCCAGCACTGCCCCGCTGCACCCACTCGCACACCGGGAGCCACTTCCTCATCGTGCTGCGCCGCCCTCTCCTTGGCGTCTCTCCAGAGCTCCCTCCTCCCAGCAACACAAACCTCACTTGTCATACAACCAAGCAAAACATACACAGATGATGAATCAGATGCAATTAGGAAAACAGCAGAAAAACCAAGTTCAAAGTGAAAGCGAAAACAGTGCGAAGTGCCCTGTGCTTCCTCCCTGGGGATCCTGCGGGCGGTGCCGCCCACAGGCACAGGGTCTGCCGCTGTCTGTCCCAGGGGCACTGCGCCCGCAGCCTGTCCCTGTCCCTGTCGGGCACTCCCACTCCCCCCTGCACAGACCTCGAGGGGGATGCTGTCTTCGCGTCCCTTTCTCAGATTGTACACTGTGGCTGAGTGAATGGTCCGTTCGCTTTCTTGTGTGTGTGTGTGTGTGTGTGGGGGGGCGGTGCACCAGGACATGAACAAACACTGGGACCCTTTCACAGGTGCTCCGGGCTCTCCGGGCCCCGGCAGGGATGCCCACGCCCAACGTGCGTGCTGCCACGGTACCAGGGAGCCCAGCGCCTGGAAGACGTGACGGCCTCTCACCGACACCCTGTGATCCAGCATCGCTTCCGCCTGGGCACACGTCTAGCTGCCACGTGTCCCTGGCCCAGACACGCCCACCTGCGGTGTCTTCCTGCCCAGACCTGGAACCCGGGGCCCAAAACCGTGACTTGAGTGTTTTGACTCCTGGTAGGAGATGCTGATATCCTAACGCTCCAGTTGTTCACAAAACCTCCTCTTTAGTAGGCTTTCCTGAGCATTTAAAAAAATCCTGTGTGTTTTAAGGCAGTAAAATTCTGCGTGTGGTATTTTAAAGATGGACTGACGTTGCCATTCATCTGTGCAAGCCCACAGCACGTCCACCACCAGCAGGGAGCCCTGATGGGTAAGAGGGACTTTGGGTGATGATGACGTGTTAAGGCAGATTCATCGATTATAACAAATATTAACAATACCTCTGCTGGGGATGTTGACGATTGGGGAGGGGAGTGTACAGGAAATCTCTGTATCTTCCTCTGAATTTTGTTAGGAACCTAAAACTGAATTTAAAAATAAAATCTTAAAAAACAAACAAATAAACAAAACATTTCCTTAATGAAAAAGGCTGGGTACATAAGGTCCCATGTTATAGGGTACCACGTATATGGAATGTCCAGACTAGATGACCCCACAGCAAGGTTGCAGAGGGCGGTGGCGGGGCAGCACTCCTGTGAGGACGGAAACGTCCCGGAGCCAGAGTGAGGTCCCTGGACCCGCTGGAGTGTACTCAATGTCCCTGAGTTGTGAGCTTCAAAGCGGTTCCTTCCATGTCATGTGAGTTTCACCTCCATCAGTGATGTCACTAGTGGACTTCACAGCAGATCACCAATACTGTCCAGAGCTAAGCTAAGGGGCATCACAGAGGCTGAGAGACGCAGGTGGGAGGTGCAGAGAGGACAGCCCCCTGCCCCGCCCCGCTACAGGAGGCCCGTGGGGACCCAGCACACAAGCAGGGGCCGTGGGGACCGAGCAGATTCCGGGTGAGGTGTCCGGAGATGGAGCAGACACTCGGGGGACGGGGTGTGAAGACCGAGCAGACAAACTGGGGGCCATGGAGAAGGAGCTGGCCCTGGGGTGGGGGGGTGCAGGAGATGGAGCAGACATGGGGGGGGGGGGAGAAGGGAGGGAAGGGTGGAGAGGGCAGGGAGACAGAGCAGACAGAGCAGACCACACACGCCCTCTGTTCCACCGCAGCCCACTCCGCCTCAGGGCCCGGTCGCCTGGCCTGGGGGAAGCCCCCTCCTCCACAACTCGGGGGCCAACCCTCCTGGGGCGAGTCAGCGAGGACCCTGACCCGGTGCCAGGCCGCTGCTCGCTGCGTCTCCACCGCTCAGGCCCGGGTTTGCATCAGGGCTTCCACGCGGAACCAAGGGCCAAGTCACCTCCCCGGCCGTGGTTTCCTCACCTGGGCTCTGAGGGCCACGCCACGCCCCTCACAGACCTACACCCCTGAGAAATAGGACCCCACACTTACACACCGGAGGGACCTGCACGCCCCCGACCAGAAACACAGGCCATGCACAGGAGCACAGAGCACACAACGCAGGGCAAGCACCAGAGTGGGGGCACGCACAGGAAGCACAGGTATGCACAGAAGTGCTCGCACTGTACCGGAAGTGCGCACACATGTAAGGGGGGCATGTACCGGAAATGCAGGGCACGCACAGGAGGCTGAGCGTGCACCGGAAGAGTCCCGGCAGCCAAGGCAGGAGCGCGCACAGGAAGCGCTGGGCACTGTACCGAAGCCCAGGCACGAAGGGGAGGCACCTGCAGGGAGTGCAGGGCACACAGGAGGCAGGGGCACTACCCAGGAAGCGTTCAGCTGACCCTCTCGCCAAAGGAATGTTTGTGGTCCTGCACCCGTTACCCCACCTTTCAGTGTGCAACACAGTCCTGCGGACGCGGCTCCCCCACCGTGCCCCTGGCCGCGCCCAGCATGCAGGCCCGTGCCCGTGGCCGCCCCGCCCCGCGCCTGAGCCACCACCCGCTCTGCCGCTGCCGCTGCGCCGGGTATGTAGGCTCCGCCTGGAAGCGGAGTCCTGCAGGGCCTGCCCTGGGGGTGGGGGCTCGTTCACTGGCCCGTCCCTGCTGCCTGTCCGAGGAGGAGGGGACAGGAGATGCGTGTGTGCCTACAACGAGTGTCACCCACCCGGAAAGAGGAAGGGACTCCTGCCACCCGGGAGCAGCGCCACTGCTCGCAAACCTCTCCCCCATTCCTGGACTCGCCACTCAGAGACCTACCGTCTTCCGCACGGAACTCTCCTCCGGCCCTCCCTCAGCCCAGAATTTCCAGAGGCTCCTCCACTCACTCGCTGGGAAATTCGTCACGTCTGAGGTGGCACCATCCCGGCAAGCGCCCGGGGGATGCCACTGCCCCTGGCCCGGGCTCCTGCTCTGGCAGCCAGGCCTCGGACACCTCCACTGACTGCCTGGCCTCTTCATTCTTTCCAGAGCATTCTCCTCTGACAACTTCCTTGACATGCCCCCACTCAGCCCCGTGCCTGGCTCAGAGCAGGCGCTCAGTGTGTCATCTCAGCTGAACCAGGTACCAAGCCCCGCCGAGTGCAGTCATGCTCCACGGGGAAGAGGCTTGTATCTGCCACGGGTCTCACAAGGCCACCCCGTCACCCCGTAACCAGCAGAGCAGCAGCTCTGGCCCACGCGATCCCCGACGGCCCGGGCTCCCACCTGACAGCCAGGATGTGCATGGGCTGGGAGCGCTGCACCTTCTGCTGTCCAGACGCCTGCGGCTCCGCGGCCCGTGCCCCCGCGGGTGGCGGCTGGCCACGGGTGTTCTGGCGCAGGGGCACCGTCTCGCTCTGCATGCTGCTAGATGATGGGCACAGACTCTCCAAGGATGTATTCATATCATTCACCAGACCGTCAAGGTCAGGCTCATCTGGGCATTAAAAAGGCAAAGTGGAAAGAAACGTTAGTAGCAGTGAGGGGTCACACCCGAACGTGCACCTTAGCGACCGGGTTCCAAGCATGGAAAACAGTCACTTGAGGTCACAGTAACAAAGCTGGGAAGTATTCGTTTCAGTAAGGGTTGATATCCAAGGCATTTATTAATATTGATATTCCAGAGGCAATTCAATAATCATAGTCCAACTTCACGTCCACCTGCCTGCACAGGAGACACCTTCCATCTGCATACCCATCGGGGTGGGTGGGCCACCATCATTGCCCAACATGACCCCATGCCCTGGCCTCTGGGCCCGCTGGCCAAGTCACAGATGGACGCAGAGCCCTAAGCAGGCCGGACAGGGTTCCCCCTTCCCTGAGAATCAAGCAGTCAGACAGGAACAGCAACACCAACAATGCCACTAGCCCTGGCCCCTGAGAGCCACCAAGAGGGCTGCCTGGTGGTCAGAGCCATGGCACACAGGCTCACTGTGATGCGGGCACCCCCAGCGGCCCCTCCTCTGCCCTCGACACGGCCTGAGAGCCAGAGGAAGTCTCGGGAGAGAGCCTGTGGCCGATGCAGAGAAGCAGGGATAGCCAAAACCGGTGTGGCTCAGTGGATAGAGCGTCGCTCTGTGGACCGAAAGGTCCCAGGTTCAATTCCGGTCAAGGGCATGTACCTTGGTTGTGGGCACATCCCCGGTAGGGGGTGTGTGTGTGCAGGAGGCAGCTGGTCGATGTATGTCTCTCATCAAGTGTTTCTAACTCTCTCTCTTAAAATCAATAAAATATATTAAAGAGAGAGAGAGAGAAAGAGAGAGAGAAGCAGGACTGGCGCGTACAACTCCACTGTGAAGACCAGAGAACGCCTGGCCGAGGGGCACTGGACTCAGTGCATCCTTAGGTGCCAGCCCGGCTAGAACGCGAACCAAGATACGGGTCACGCTGCGGTCCTGACAATGCCGCACGCCGCATTTCAACGTGGGTAGCCGAGTCAGGAGGCTGAGGGGAGCCGATGGCCGCCACCACGGGGGTGGACCCCTCTCATCAGCGGAAGGCCTTGAGAGAAAAGACTGATGTCCCCTCAGCACGAGGGAGTTCTGCCTCCCGACTCCCCTGCACTCCCTCCGGGTCTCCATCCTACAGCTTGTGGGTCTGCAACTCCACAGCCATGTGAGCCCATTCCGTAAGCACCCCGCCCCCCACACTCGTGTGCGATTGTGTATGTGGTACGTGTGTGTGACAGACGCACACCCCACTGTGCCGTCTCTCTGGAGACCCTGGTAACCTGCGGTGAGGGAGGTGACTCAGCAGCACCCTGAGATGGAGGAGACGGAGGAGACGGAGGAAATGGAGGACAGGGCCGGGAAGGGCGGGAGCTGGGCCTGGGATGGGAGTGGGCTCTGCAGCTGTGCATGCCCGGCTGCTCCTGCTGGCAGCTGTGTCCGGCATTCCGACCCGTGGAATAACTGTGCTCCGGCCCAAGTTCGTTTCGCTCACTGTAACCCAATACGCTGCGCTAACACGGACCCCATTTCCCCGAGTTTCCCAGACCTGTCACTTTTTAACAGCTTGGTAAATAACAGCTGAGGGTGACTCCGAGGCAGCACATTGCTGGTCACGTATTCCATCTCATTTGTTCCCCTAACGGCCCCATGTGACACCCGCTTAACAAACAAGGGGCCCAGAGCTCATGGCAGGAGGCCCTCCGCCTCCCAGAGGGCTGCCTGCTGGTGCTGGCGGGCGGAGGGCAGGGGGTCCCGGCTGGGGGGAGGGGGCCTGGCCTCTGTCTTCCCACCGGGGAACCTGGGGGAGGGCGGGGGCAGAGCCCCGGCAGAGCCGGCCACAGCAAACACTCAGCAGTTATTTATTAGCCCTGCCCATCCAGGCCTCCGAGCGCAATCTAAAGGTGACTATTAACCTGGTGCCCCGGCTGCCCAACAGGCCCGAGGAGCCGAGCAGCCTGCCAAGATCACACGAGCGCTAAGGAGCAGGCCCGGGACTGGAAAACAAGTTTGGCAGCTCCCAACTGGAGCTCCCCAGGTGCGTGCTCAGTGAATGAGCTCACAGAACTCTCCAGAACCCTGGGCACTCCTGTCTCCTGCTCCCAGCACACAGGTCTCAGGTGCAAGGACAGGCCCCAAGAAGGACAGACAGAGGGACGGAGGGGGCAGACAACACAGTCAGTGGAGGCCTGGCCTGTCCAGGGGCTGCTGACCCCGTGCCCGTGCTGTGAGGAGGGGCCGGGCGGCCGGAGCTCTAGGCTGCAGGGGAGAGGGAGGTGGGACAGGACCCAGAGTCTGACTCGGGGAAACCGGCTCATGGGCCCAGGGTTCCCGGGCCATGAGGGGAGACGATGGCGCGGCTATTGGTCAGGTTATGAGCAGTCAAATATTAATCCCGGGGCCAGATATTAAGAGGACAGAAGTGCTAAATTAATAATTAATAATTACCACAGCATTAATATTTAATGCAGCACATGGGAGGACACCCAGGTCAGCGGACAGAGCTATGCCCTGAGTCCTGGGGGCAGGGGCGGTGGGAGGGGAGGGAAGAGGGGTTGACAGAAACCCGGGACCTTGGAGGGTCCCCCTGTCCCTGCAGGCATGTGTGTGTGTGTGTGTGTGTGGGAAGGGGGGGGGAAGGCCCAAGATGAGCTGTCAGCCATAAACCAAGGAAGCAACTCATGGTGATGGCTGAGCCCGAGGGCCAGCCTCAAACCGGGAACAAGGCCTTGCACAGGTTCCGAGACCTCGGAGGGGGCTCCCCTTGGAGGAGAGGTGCCAGCTGCACTGAGCCCGCAGGCCAGGCCTCCAGGAGAGGCCGGGAACGTGAGGCCACCTCGTGTCCTCACTCACATCCAGCCACCCCCTCAGGCCCTGTGCCCCGACTCCCCCTGCGGACCACCGAGGTTTCCCTCTGAACAGGCCTCTTGGGCACCGATGGGGTGGGCACAGCGCTCCGTCATTACGAAGTGACTTCCGTGTGCGCCCGGCGGCACGCCACAGCCTCGCCACGCCTGCTTACACGCAGGGGAAAGCCCGCCGGACACGGACACAAAGGCCGTTTTCATCACTGTCGCCGGCCGGGGGGAGGGATCAGACAGGAGGACGGGCTGGCTGACCGATTTCTCCCAGGAAGGAAGTCTGAGCGCCCGGGACTGTGCCCACCTTGTGTGGCGGCCGTCTCCGCCTTCCCCTCTGCGCCCAGCGGGCCCTCCCCGCTGCCCCGCTGCCCCGGGCTCCCCGGAGTCGGAGTAACTGACAATGTTCAAAGCATCAAAACGGTGAGCTCCCCGGCAGCGGTGCGGGCAGCGCACACCTCGCACGTCCGGGCCATCAGCGCCTCCACCCACACCCACCGTGTCGGCACGCGTCCCATGCGCCTCTGTCTTGCTCCTCGGAGCAAAAATAAACCTTTTTAAAGAATCTAAAAACCCTCAAGAGCGGAACCCCCTTTCAGAGCCCTGTGGCCCTTTGGCGTTGTGTTCTGAGATGATAAAAGCACGAGTGATCCTCAGGTTTTAACCTTTGTTACGTTTGTGGGGGACTGGCAGTGGAATCGTCCAAACTGGGATCTTAAAGGATCGGTTCCAAAGACCAAATTTCTCCATCCTCTTTCCGCTTCCCACCGAGATAGCCCCACTCGGCATCCGTTCTGATCGGCAATCACTCACACGTGAGTGGGAGAAGCAAGCAGCGGGCGTTACGTGAACGCGGAGGGTCTATTCCCTGCGAGCCCGACACCCACGCCGGCCGGGGGACAGCACCGCGGGCGGGCGCGGGCGGGGGAGGGAACATGGGTTTCTGACCCTCTCCCCTGCACACACGTTCCTCGGGTGTATTGACCGCACAAATATAGGTCACACCACACGGCGGTGAGTGGAGTTATTCATAGCTCCCCTCCTTCCTGGAATAGGCCGGCCTAAAACGGGCCGTCGACTTTTGTCCCAAATATCTAACTGAGCAGCTCATCTGACCTCAGCTCCCAAGTGCACCTCGCCGCCCTGTCCTCAGCACACCGAGGCCTCGGCTCTCCAAGGGGTGGACAGCCGGCGAAAATAGCTCAGGGTTGGCTCATGAGCTATCCTGGGTGCGTCTCTCCACCGACGGACGGAGCCAGGCTGAGGCTGTGCCCAGCCGGGCCGAGGCCCACCTCACCCCGCACGACACCTGCTGAGTCTGCAGGCTGACTCTCTCCCCCTCCCCCGCCCGCCCCCCCGGGGCCACTGCGTCCTGCCATCCGGCCTGTGTGTTCAGGACACGGGGAGCCGTGTGCCTGCAGAGACCCTCCCGGGTCGTCCCCTCTTCGGTCCCAGGCACCTCTCACTGGGGAGGCTGGGGGTGGCCTTGCTCACACAGCTAACACCCCTCCGGGGGACAAGCACGCAGATTCGCACCCGAGGAGCAGCAGCTAGAAGGCGCTCGGAGGCCGTGAGGAAGTAACATATGTATAACCTCCCTCCATGGCGTCTGGCCCTGGGCCCGCGGCTGTTCCGTCATCGAGAGAGGAGCCTTCTGCCCCCGAGCCCGCTCCTCGCCCCCCACCTGGGTGTGTGCCCACGAGAGCCCCGGAGGCCATGGGTGGGGCAGGCTGCTCAGGGACCGGCCACATGACAGGGGAGCTTTTGGGACCCCTCCCGGCCTCCTTGGGAGACTGTAATCGCCAGCGGAGATGATTGCCACTGTTGCGTCTATGCGGCGAATTTCTACGTAACCCTCCAAAGTGGGGTTCAGCTCTAGCCAGCCTTCCCAGTGGTTAGAGCGTCAGCGCTCAGACCCAAAGGGTCAAAGGCATGTACCTTAGTTGCAAGCTCGTTACCCAGCCCGGGTGGGGGCAAATGCGGGGGGCAGCCCCCCGATGTGTGTCTCTAGTCTTTCCCTCTTCCTTCCACTCGCCCTAAGAATCAGTGGGAAAGTGTCCTCGGGAGGCCCTGGCTGGTGTGACGCAGTGGTTCGAGCGTCGCCCCGGACCGAAGGATCGCAGGCTTGATTCCTGGCCGGGACCGGGCGTGTGTGGGAGGCAAGCAACCGATGTGTGTCCCATGGACGTCTCTCTCTGTTTCTCCCTCTCCCTCCCACTCTCTCTGTAAAGCCAATGGAAAAATATCCTCGGGTGAGAATTAAAAAAGGCAGTACTACAACACCTTTGGGTTTTTTTGTTTTGTTTTGCTTTTTTTTTTAAAGAAGAAGAATGGGGATCAGAGAGCTTCTGGGTTGGGGGGCAGTGTCCTAGGCTGGGAGCTGGCACCCTCAGAGTGTGCCCAACTCCATGCCCCCCCTCGCCCTGTGCCCCCACCCTTTCCTAACACACTGCAGACCGAGGGGGGCATGCTCCTGAGCAGAACGTGTGGGCTGACCCAGCAGATGGGACCAGGTCTGGGTCACGCCAGAGCTCAAAGGAGCCGTGGGGCACCCAGCTCCCGGGTGGGGGGGGGGGGGTGTGAGAGTTGCTGAGCAGGGGAGCCCCCTCCCCATCTGGGGGACAGAGGACTGGATGCACATGAAGAAGGGGGGACTTTTCTGGATGGCGCTGTACCCGGCGATTCCTGAACGCATGCGTGGATGCCAAGGCTCTCACACGCTCCACCCGGACACCACGGCGTGTCCAGCCGGCACAAGTGTTCTCAGCCGGGATCATGTTCGGCCCGAGAGCTATTTCTGTTGACCTCTAAGCAAGTAAAACCTTGTGCAAATATAACTCCTCAGTCAACTGAAATGCCTTTCTGGCACACAATTAATCTCCTCGGCTCACGAGCCCCCGTCCACGGGCACCGTCTTTCCCGCGGAGAGCTGCCTGCACACAAAGAGGCTACCAAAACGTGGTGGCTTCGCAGGCAACCGTCGCCGCCTGTGATCGCGAGACCAAGGGAGCCAGAGTGGACTGGGCATGTCTTTCTTGGAGCCACTTTTAAAAAGTAAAAATAGGTTTTTACCTATCCCTGCCTCCACACCCCCCACACAAAAAAAACAAAACTAAAAGCTGGGACTCAAAGAGAGATCTGTGAGCCGCGTGCACAGTGGTGCGATTCATAATTCATATAGCATAACCGCCGCGGGTGAAAGCGGCCCACTGTCCGCCGAGGGGGAAGCAAAACACGGCCGTCTGCGCGATGGAACATTACTCATTCGTTTTGTTGTTGTTAATCCTCACCGAGACGTTTTTCCATCGGTTTTCGGGGAGAGCGGGAGGGAGCGGGGAGAGAGGAGAGGGAAAGAGAAACATGGATGTGAGGGGGACACGTGGGGCGAGGGCCAGGAACCAGACCCACAGCCAAGGCCCGTGCCCTCGCCTTCCTCTCTTCCGCTGGGGCTGGTCCGCGCTGCCCGCGGAGCGGGTGGGCAGCACCTATGGAAACAGTGGCCTGTGTCATCCGCGCTCACCGCTTCCCGGGCAGCCGGGCGAGGCGGGAAGTGGGCAGCGTGCTGGCTGCGGGGCCCTGGGGAGGGGCCGCCGTCTCCCCCACAGACAAACGCCTGGTTCTTGGGGCCCGCGAGGTGGCAGCTCCCTAGGCTGCGCCCCGGGAGGCGAGGGGGCGTCACAAAGTCCGGCCAGACGCCTGGCGGCCAGACGGGCGCACCTGGACCGCCGCGCACGGCGAGGGCGAGATAATAATTAATCGCCCTGGACTTTGCTTCCGTGCGGTTTACGGTCTGAATCCGCGTTTGAGGGGACTCGAGGGTAATCCTATCCAAAGTCAATACGCGGGCAGGTAAGGCAGGAAGACAGCCATGCCCGGTGCTTCCCGTCACGGAAACCCAAGCCCCTTGGCGAGGCGGGAACGTGAGCAGCGAGGAGGCCTCCTTTCCTGCCCGGGGCCCCATCCGGCCCGGGTCCAGGAAGCCCCCGAGCCCCTCGGCTTCCTCTGGGCTTTACGACCTGCGTCCGCCTGGGCCTCCCCCACAGCCCTTTCCTTTCCCAGGGGCCCCCGCCCGGCCCCCGGCCTGAGCCTGCTGACGGGACACAGCAGGCCCCGCAGCCTGCCCCTGCTCTCAGGGCCGCAGGGAGAAAGAACAGAGACCCGCTCTCAGAGCTGGGGGGGGGGGGGGGGGGGCTCCGAGCACCCTGCCCCGCCCCCGAGGCGCCTGTTCTTTCTCAGCCTGACTGTGCTCCCCGGAGCTCCGGGCCACGGCCACGGGCAGAAGCCGGCGTCCACACATGTGGCTCTGGAAGGGGCTCACCTTCCCGGGTCTGACCCGCGTCCGTCTAACAGCCTGAGGCTGAGGAGGGCAGACTCGGGCACGGCCCCAGGGCCGCCTGCCTGCACCCCTTCTCCACACCACCTTCCAGGGCATCCGGTGACCCCATTCAGTGTGACACCCCAGACCCCTTGACATTCGCTCCAGAAACGTGGCCTCCGTGCACCGAGCCCGTGACTTCCTGCACTCGGCAGACAGTCACCGAGCAGCGAGGGCGTGGGTGACACGGGTGCAGGCCCTGTGGTCACCCAAAAAGAGACACCACCCCCACCCCCACCCCCACCCCCGAGTGCTGGGGCCTCAGGCTGCGAGGGGACTGCAGAGCCGAAAACGGATTTGAGGGGAAGGCTCTGAATAGGCTCCCACCACATCTGGAAAAACAATTCCCGGCTCCGGCTCAGCAGCCACTCCTGGGAGACTGCCTGCAGGGAGGAGGGGGGCTCCTCCGGCAAGGGGCTCCCTCTCCCTCCAAGAGGGGAGGGCGTCCCCCGAGGGGAGGAATGGGGGGCTAACGCAGCGGCCGAAGCTGTGCGCAGCGTTCGGGCACTCGGCCTGGCGGGTGGGCGGGCGGGCGGCGTGCAGAGGCCCGGCCCGAGGCGTCCTCAGGACGAGGAGAGGCGTTCCAGCGGGAGCTCAGGCTGTTCCAAGAAATGGCACGTCTCCCAGAACCGAGGAGCAAGAGAGGCTGGCTCCCCAGGACGTGCTGGGGAGCGGGCTGGCCGGGATGCAGGGTGCTCGGGCCGGGCTGGTGGCTGGGCACTGCCTGTGCCCCGCCCTGCTGGAGCCTGGCTGAGGGGCGGGGGCCTTGTTGGGGTAAAAGGCTCCTGGGACTCCCCTACACTCACTCTGAATGCCCATCTTTGGGTCCAAGCAGGAAGCCTTCACCAGCTCCTGAGCGAGGGCTTAGGGTTCTCACGAATCCTCCTCCACGAGGAGAAACAGCAGCCCCTGTGCGACCTTCCCTCTCACGCCCAGGAGGGGTGCCCCAGGCCCCAGCCCGGACCTGGAGCTGGTGAGCCCGAGTCCTGGGGGCACCCACAGGGAGGCCCGGGAGGTGGTGAGCTGGGGGGCGTCGGCGTGGCTCCCCGGGCGAGTGCCGTGCTCAGCAGCCAGGTGAACCACAGCCGCCACGTCACGAGCCCTGGGCCGTCTCCAACCTTACCCGCGACCCGGCCACGTGGGCGGCTGCGGGCTCCGAGGCAGAAAGGAGGCGCCCAGCCCGGGGGAGCCATGTCTGACCCAGGGCTGCTGCTCCCCGGCCCAGCCCCTTCGCCCTCACGCTCTCACTGGGGTTCTCTCCACCATCTCCTCCCTGAACCTGCGTGTCCAGGCGGCCGGAGCTGCGTCCTGGCCTTCCCGCACCCCGAGCCCCACGCTGGCACGAGGTGGGAGCCCGTGAGCAGCGTGGCGCTATGTGGAGAACGGAGTCGCCGCCTCCATAAATCAGGCTGCAGAATTTTCCAAAAAGTCAGACAGCCAGGCAGCGTTCCCAAACCTCGGAGCCTGCTGAGTCGCCAATCCTGGGGCTCCTCGGAGAAAGCCCGCCGGGCAGGTTACACACGGGCCACGGGGTGAATCAATGCCAGACTGTCTCCTTCCAACAAGGGATGGCCGGCGGCCAGGAGGAGCTGCGCGGGCACGGGCGGCCCCGTGCAGGAAGCGGCACCTCGCGGGCCAGACCTGTGCCCGGGGCCCGCCCGCCTGCCCGGCCAGCGTTGGCCTTCCGGGCGGGCGTCCCCGAGGTGGCAGGACCTGAGGCTGGAAGCAGGGCGGGCGGCACCTCCGCTGGGGGCTCCCCCCTCCACAGGCACCGCTCCAGGACCGAGCCTCACAGGACGCAGGGAGCGCCGTGAGCGGGACCTTCCTCGCACCCCCCTCACCGCCACCCCCACCCCCACCCCCACCCCCTCCCCCCGGCGGCCGAGCCAGGGAACCCTGCTTCCTCGCACCCCCACCCCCGCCCCCCGGATCCTTCTCTCCCCAGCCCTGGACTCCCAGCTGAGCACATCTTCCTCCGGGAACAGAGGCTAAAATGACCCCAGAAAAACAACGCACCCAAAGCATACGTACCGGAAACGACTGGCTGACGGCAGCTTAAAAAGAGCGAATTCAGGTGAAAACGTCTTACTCGCTTTTCGGAGGTAGCAAATCCTGGTTTTCCTATCCAAGGAAAATACAACCCCTCATCGGTGATTTTTTCATCATGAATCCTATCTAAATTGTACCCCTGGCATTTTCCAAGGCATTTAGGTGTCCTTGGACAAGAAGTGTGGACATGAGTGCCTGTGTGTGTGTGTGCACCTGAGTGTGCGTGCACGTGCATATGTGCATTTGTGTGCATGTGAGTGCCTGCGTGTGTGCAAACATGAGTGCCCAAGTGCATGTATGTGTGTGCACGTGCATGTGTGTGCACATGCGTGGATGTGCATGTGCATGTGTAGTCGGTAAAAGGCTGAGCTATTCTTGTTTTTTGTTTAATATTTCAAAAATATTGATTTTTAAATATAATATCATATGCAACAAACATTAGCATTTCAAGAAAAATATTTTAAATAATATTAGCAAAACCGTGCTAGCATAGAATAACATAAAAGTTGTAGGAAATGTTAAAAATCTAGCAAATAACAGGATTTGCTAATGCAGGAACGCGTGGGAGCCACCGTTTCACATGGACTCCACGGCCTCCCGCCCCCGACCTTCCCGACGCCCCCTCAGTGGCAGCGTGGGAAGGGAAGGCCGTCGCCAGCCGGTCCCGTCTTCACCACTGCTCACCTGGAATCGTCAGAACCTCCCACGGGGGGGGGGGGGGGGGGGCAGGGCCTTTCTGAGCCCTCAGGTGTATTTACGACCTGTGAGTTCAGGAATTCATTAAACAATCACCCATTAAATAGATGGCGGAGGAGGCACCAGTGCGGAACGGCAGGGGAAGTGAGACCGCCACTGCCCTGGGGAAATGCGTGATCTCTGGGGAGAGGGATGCATGTGACCCACAAAGTCACACTCCCAGGGTGACTTACTAGGCCTGCGCACGTTCCCCTAAATGGCTGCTGCAGGCGAGGCTGGGGGGCTCCGAGCCTCCCTGCCTCCGTTTCCCCATCTGCAGCTCTGAGGACCAAGTACACAAAGAGAAGGCGTGCAGGCAGCGTCAGCGGGGACACCGAGTCCTCACCGTCCGCACGGGCACAGCTTCTCCAAGGCTGGTGCGAGAAGGCACACGCAGGGCAGAGTCTGGGCGGCGAGGGGTTACTGAGCCGCCCAGGGCCTCAAGGCGCTCGCGGCTAGAACAGAGCGCCCGGGAGGGGGCTGGGCTGGGGCCGGCTGCCACTCACGTCCCAGGACACTGGGACGGCGCTGAAGGGAAGAGGGCAGACAAACCGCCCTCCCTCGACCTCCTCTCCTTCTCTGCTAGCGGCCTTTCCCCCTTTAGTCTCCTCTCCATTGACTGACCCGGGAGACCCCGGGGCTCGGGAGAGGGTCCCCGTCCTTCCACCCCGGCACAGTGACGGGAAGGAAGCAGCTGCCCGCACAGCTCTGCACCCGACGCCTACACGCTCCGAACCAACCCCGTGGCTCACAGACCAAGAGGAGAGACGGAAGCCGGGGGCGCCCGGAGCGGCTCTGTGAGGTGAACTCCACGCACGGCCCGGTCACGGGGAAACCCACGTGCAGACGAAGCGGCGTGATGCCGGGACCTGAACCTCCCTCCGCTCCCTGGGCACCTCCCGTGTCTGTGGGAAGAGGAGTGACCCTCAGGGACAACTGGTTTGAAAACCACAGTTCTCGGCCTGGCTGGTGTGGCTCAGTGGATAGAGCGTGGCCTGTGGACTGAGGAGACCTGGGTTTGACCCCGGTCAAGAGCATGTACCTCAGTTGCAGGCTCAATCCCCGTCCCTAGTTGGGAGACGGCCAGCCGATGTCTCTCTCAGGGCGATGTTTCTCTCTCCCCCCATTCCATGCTCTAAAAAAAATCAATGGAAGACACCCCCAGGGAGGAGTGCCAGCACAAGCTCTGAGGACCTGCCAGGCGGTCTCCACGGAGGCCGCACCGGGTGCGTTCCCACCGCAAAGCCGGGAGCACCTCAGCCTGCAGGCCGTTTCTGTGTCTCTGCGATGCGGTGGCCACCCCCTCCTGGCCACCCCCTCCTGCTGTCACGGCCGTGGCCCTTGATGTTCGCAGGCGGCTGCCACGTCTCCATCTGGGCCTCCCAGCTGCGTTCAGAGAGGAATGGTCTTCCTTCCTTCCTGCCCAGTCCCTGTGCCCAAGGCGTGGCATCCTGCGAGCTTTTCCAGACTGGCTCCGAGGGGTTCCTGTCCGTCCTGCCTCCGTCGTCGCAGTAATTTCTGACCTTCATCTGTACAGTTCCTTCCTCCCCCCCAATTCCTTCCTCAACATCTGCTCTTCTCATCTCAGTGTTTCCCCTTCTCTGAAGCTCAGACACATCGTCTTAAATAGCTCTGTAAGGAGCAGGGCTTGACTTCCCACTGTGCCACTCCACCCTGCACCTCTCTACACCCTGCTCCTGTCCTACCCCCAACCTCCCCACCCTGCGCCACCCCACCCCGCGCCTGTCCCAGGAGCTGCTCTCCACGGCAAGGTTCCCTCCAGCCCAGCGGGGCGCGCTGTGTCTCAGTGTCTGTGGCACCTTGCACACTTCCTGCGGGCCTCAGTGTGATTGCACCGGGCCCCAGGGCCCCAGACCCGGGCTCCGGGAAGGATGGCTTCGCGCTTAGTCGATGTCCATCGACGGCCAGCCCTCTGGAGAGTGGCAGATCTCACCAGAGCATCGGAGTCCGTGGGGGTGCAGGTTCCAGAAGGCCTTTGTCCTTCTGGCCGTCCGCTCAAAGCTCCTCGCAACCCTTCTGAGCACCTGACTTCCCCTTTGCCCACGTCTTGTTCTTCCTCCTCTTCTGCGGGTGCTGTCAGCTGTTCCGTTCAGTAGGGGTTCCCTCCCTCTCTGCGAGGCTGGAGACTAGCGATGACACGCGTGTCTTCATGGTCACACGCACTCACTGGTCCTTCAGAAGCGGGGAGCTGCCCCCTAGCCTCCACTCACACGCCACAACCCGGCCCTCCTGCCTGCCCTGCCTGCCAGCCACGCTCTATGCCGTGTGGGGGCATCCAAGAGGCTGGGGGGAAGGAGGCAGCTGTGGTGGGGGTGCTCACAGTGTAAACTCCAGGGAAGCGGGTACGACATGCGTCAGGGGTCAGATGCTGGCCCCTCACCCCCAGCCCAACCCGGGCACGGCCAGCGCCTCCCAGAGGCCACTTGCCTCCTGTCCACCAGCTCCCACCCCAGGGAGAGGCTGGGAGGAGAAGCTGTGGGGGCTCATTCAGCCTTGGTTCCTCTCTTTCCAGTTAGAGTCTGAGCATGGGCTTCGGGTGAACACGCACACCAACGTTTAGATAATTTCGTTTAAAGGAGACCATTTGTAAGCAGCGAAATGTCACGAATTACGAACTTCCTTGGCTTCGAGGCCAATGGCAACAAACGGGGACCGTTTCCCTTCATCACCTCGCTGGCAAGCCTCGAGGTGACCCCACTGCGCGACCGGAACCGAGCTTCGGCGAGGGCGCGCTCCCCACACCTGGGCCACCCCCTCCGAGGCCTGGGTGGCACCCGCTCCTAGTCTGCCAAATGCCACCCTCTCCCTAAGCCATTTAAGAAATCTAACTCTTCCCGCCCAGCAAGCGGGGCTCGGGTTGAGCACCGGCCTCTGAACCAGGCTCAGTTGCATTCCCGGTCAGGGCACAGGCCCGGGTTGTGGGCTCGATCCCCAGTGTGGGCATGCAGGAGGCAGACAACTGGTGAGTCTCCCATCTTTGCTGTTGCTATCTCTCCCTTCCTCACTGAGACCAATAAAAACATATTTAAAAAAAAATCTAATTCTCATCCCACCAGTCCCAATCCTTCCATTCTTTGCTCTTAAACGCTCCAGTTGTTCAAACAGCCAGCGCCCTCATTTGCCTGTTCCGTCTCGGTTCCGGGCTCCGGTCCCCATCCAAGCCTGCAGCCCACAGTCCCAATGTGTCATTGGTTTCTTCCCTTCCCACGGGGCCCCGGCAGGAATGAACTTCCTTCTGAAGGAACAGAAGGAACCACGGGAAGGTAGAGAGCTGCCAGGGGTGCCCAGGCAGACATGGGCTGGACGCATCCAGCCAGCCAGGACCGGGAGGGGAGGCCCTGGAGGCGCCCCCTTGTCACCACAGCGGTCGGTGGCCTCTCGGGGAGGTGGGGCGACCCTGGGGAACCCCGGGAGCCCGGTTCCCCGAAGGTCCTGCTCAGGACGCGTCCCCCCGGGGGTTAGCATCTCCTTAGATGCGAAGGGAGGGCAGTTTCTCAGAACACCAAGCCCCGCCCTGTTCCTGTCCTTACCTGGGTGCTGCCCGCTCGGCTCAGCCTGGGCCTGGGCGCCGGGCACAGGAGGGTCAGACGAGCTGCGAGGAGATGGCTGCTCCTCCCGCTCCTGCAGGAAACGGGCAGAAGCGCGGTCAGAGGGTGGCACACCCGCCAGGCCCCCCACCCCCGTGCCTGGTCTCCTGGACCCCCGCTTCCTCCCCGGGTGAGCTCACGACTCTTGGGGGACAGTCGTTTCAGACGGGCCAGCGCAGGGCCACCCGTGGAAGGCACACCCCGATGCCAGGGAGGGAGAGGGCGGCTGGAGGGGAGTCAGGGTCAGCGGATCGCCGCAGCCTTCCACGGGGCACGGACATGTCGCGAGGGCCGGACGGGGGCCGGGGGCCGGGACCCGCCCCTCGAAGCGTGGGAGCTCGCCGGCATCCTTGGACGTGGGGCTGAGGATGCAGCAATGGGACCTCCCGGGAAAGAGGCAGTGGGATGGGAGCGAACCCACGGGCCTGTCGCGTGGACAGGGCCGCGGGGAGTGAGGAGGGCGGGATGGGGGTGCTCTCCCGGGTCTCAGGACCCCCTGGCACCTAGTGCTCGCTGAGCCCCCTGCCGTGCGGACGGCTCGGACCCGGGGCTCGGGCCCGCGCCGCCGGGCAGGCGGGCTGTGCCCTAACGTGCGCGTGGGCGGGGAGGGCCGCAGGCTAACCTGGCGAGCGCGGGGAGGCCAGCGCGGCGGGCCCTGCGCGCTCAGAGACCAAGGCCACCGCGGAGGATGGTCTGACCGGAGCATCCCTAGCCAGAAGCGGGCACTCTCCCCCTCGGCCTGTCGCTTCTTTGCCCCTGCGAGAGGGCGGTTGCGCCTAGGAAACGTACCTGTAAAAAAATGTCAGAGTACTCTTCTTCCGGCCGCGCGGGGCACAGCCGCCGGCACCAGTGCGCGAGGCCACAGAACCCCTCACTGCTCTCTCGTCTCCCGAAAACCATCGCCATTTGCTGACTGACGCTCCTCTCCTGCACGCCTGCACACCAGCGCAGAGAGGGACGTGTCCTCGGGGGCCTTCGGGGCTAGGACCAGAGCTTGCCCACCCGGCTACTTCCTCCCGCCCCGTCACCTCCACGGGTGGACCGCCACGTCCACCCTCCCACGTGGGAGCTGGAGGGGAGAAAACCAGCTGTGACGGCCCTCCTCCGCTCTGCTGAGACCTGCTTCCTGGCAACATGGCCAGTGTGGTTCGAGGAAGCTCCTGCGGTTCCCGGCAGATCTAGGTGTTTCTCCGGTCGGCAGCCCGCCCTGCCCGTGCCCAGGAGCCTCCACAGCTGACTAGCCGCGGTGCCGACGGGGCGCTGAGGCCCAGGGAGGCCCCTCCCGACGGCCGCCGCCTCGGAGCCCCCGCACCGCCACCGGCCGCCCGGGAGCCGGAAAAAGGCAGCTATTCCGACAAGACGTGGGTCGCAGCAGCTCGGGGAGAGGCTGGGTGCTGTGCCCGGGGCCCTCGCCTGCTCAGACACAGAAGGGAACAGGCGGAGTCTGCTCCGCGGAGACCACAACCTGTGGGGAGAGGGCGTGGGACGGGCAGGGGCACGAGGGGGAGGCACCCCAACTGCCCTTGGTGCGGGGAGCCGCCGGCCTCCCTGTGTCTGCCTCCGGAGGGGAGGCTTTCTGAGCGTCTGGGCATCGCTGCCAGACAGCCATCGCACAAGCAGACGCTAACAGAGTGAAGGAAAGGCGTGAAGGGGACTTCTCCACGCGCGTCCTGTTTGCTGAGCCTGTTCCTTCAGAGAAAAAGCACGCGCGTGGTGTGTGTGTGTGTGTGTGTGTGTGCATGCAGAACCTGAAGTACCTGTGGAGAGTACAGGACACATGTGAGTCACACGGGTTACAAGGGTCCTGTTTAAGAAATGGAACTGCGGCCACAGAACATGTGTCGCTGTCTTCTCACCATGCTTTCTCAAATCTCCACTGTTCCCACTGCCCCCCCCTCCCCCGTGTGCACGTGCATGCACCCCCTTTCTCCCAGGCTCCGCAGTGCAACAGGCCATCCAGAGCGTGTCTGGTGAGGGAAGAAGAGGGGTGGGTGTGGAGGATGTGAGGTCCAGGAGTGGGGAGGCCACCAGAGCCCCAGCCGAGGGGCCGCACGGGGGCTGGGCCAGCACGGCTGGCGGAGGGGGACTCCTCCCAGCCCCAAAACCAGTGGGTCTCCTCAATAGGACTACCACTTCTAAAAATCAATGGAAACAGTTCCCACAATTTCACAGCAATGCTTCTCCACCCATCACGGTTCCCTCCTCTATGAATTCTACAGCAACCTGAGGACGTTTCTGGAAATACAGAGCCGGAATACAACACACACCAGCCTAAACCCCACAGCCGGGGGCAGCTTAGCACCCGCGTGTGAGAGCGGGCAATCACACAGTGTGAACGGTTCTGTTTATTCTGCGCGTCTCTCCCCGGAACATGACAAAGGTGGATGGCCAGGACGGCCGCCCCGGCGTTTCTCGGAGCCCGGCCTGTCTGGGGGACAGGCTGTCTGTACACATTCCGGGAGCATCGTAACGATCCTGAGCCGACCTTGTCCCCCTTCCCGGTGGCGGGCCTGGATCCCTGGAAGCAGCCGCCAGGCCAGAGGTCACCGGTGTTTTCCCAGCGTCCACACACTGCCCCCCCCCGGCCCCCGCGGAGTCCAGGGCTGTTTCCCAGTATCCGAGGGGGCGGGTTTCCCAGTATCCGAGGTGCCGGCTCTTCCTGGGACTCCTCTTGCCTCACTGGAGGTCACAGGGGTCTCCCTGCCCAGGTGGAGGGGGGCCTCCCGGGGACGGGGAGGGGCTCTAACGTGACGGCCTGAGCAGGACCGAATTGGGGAGTGAGCACCCCAACGCTCCCTGACTCCCCCAGGAGCAGCTCACAACGTGGCAGGAACCCCGTGGGGTCACATTCGCAGCGAGCACGGTCCCGCGTTTGCCTGTGGATTACGCTTGGTTCTCAGAAGCAGTCCGTGGGGTCTCGCTCCTGGACTTTCCCCCGGGCCCCTCCTGAAGCAGGAAGCCTGGCCGCTGCCGCGCCCTCCACCGGATGGCGGGGCAGCATCCATCTTGTCTCGGTTTCTGTACTGTGCTGGCGCCCACGTGGGCGAGCGGGCGGGCAGGCGGGCGGGAGAGGGTGCCGCCACGGTAAGCGGCTCTCCAGGCCTGTTCTCGGCGCGGTCCTCACTCCTGCCGGTCTGGCGGCCGCTCCGAGGACCTGCTTCTGCTCCCCTTCCCTTCCGTGGGCTCCGAGGAGGACCTGCTTGCTGGCGGCCCCTCGCCTCCCTGTTCGTTGCCTCCTTGCTCCTCGTCCGAGGTCCTCCCTCGCTCCCTCCAGTGCACTCGGGGGTCGTCTCCGCAGCTGCTTGGATCGTGAGACCTTCCCTCCGAAGACCCACGTGTAAGTGAGGGGTCACCCTGCCCGTCACTGACACGGGTGCTGGCACTGCTCCTCTGCTCACAGCTGTCACGTGACACTGAGAGCGCCCCCGGAAGAGGCGTGCACAGGGAAGGGGCGCGCTCCAGGCGCCCGCTCTGGGCCTCCCTCCGCTGACACACGGGCCCTGCGTGTCTCCCGCCTGCTCTCCGGTCCCCGCCACCCGGCCCGCACCCAATGGGTGCGAGAGGGCCTCTCTCCAGTGACGAGCAGCCCAGACCCCTTCAGGACGTCTCCTTACAAGACAGGCGACTCTCCGCCCTAACGTGAGGCACCCGTGTCTCAACAGCACTGTCACATGTGGGAGGGGGTGTAATATCCAGAATGTGGCACAGGACCGCTCCTGAGGGGTTTTGGGGGCTTGTTCTATGGGTCTCCTGTACTCTCCCTGAAAGACGCCCCACATCTGAGCAATCCCAGCAGTGAGAACGCGGTCTGGGCGGCTGCCTCCTCTGCTCCTACGTGGAACTCCCAGGGCCAAGAGCATGAACTTCTTAAAGCTCAGGAAGAATCCTGTCATCCCGAGACGCCAAGGGCTGTAATGCCCGGGGAGATGGTGGCGTTTACAGACTAAGGCTCCAGCGCGGAGACCGCGGGGAAAACCAAGCCCAGAGCAGAGGACGGCTCCTGCCGCCCGGAGTCCGTCCGAACGTCCGTCTGCCCTTCGGGGGCGGCTTCCCTGGACTCGGGGACAGGAGCAGCGGCCGGTCTCTGCGCCGGCCGGTCTCACGCGAGGCCCAGCGTTCGGGACACTTCCTGTGGGAGGCGAGGGCCAGGGCGGCGGGAGGTGGGGATGGGGCGTGAGGGTCCCGCCTGAGGGAGGCAGCCCGAAGCCCGTGATGGAGGCCGAGAGGGTCGCTCCACGGGCTTTACGGATATTTTCGAAGCCGGGGCGGGCGTCCAACGTTGGGGCAGAGCGGGGCCTCCAGAAGGGGACGAGGAGGAGCCTCGCGGGCGGGCGGGCGGCCTGGGAGGGTGATCTCATTCCATCTGCACTCAGCCCGGGAGGGCGGGGGCTGCGGCGGCCTCAGCCAGAGCCCCGTCCTTGGGCCTCCGTGGGGCCGGCAGGGGCGGGCGGGGCTGGCTGTCCAGCTCAGCAGTTGCTCCTCCGGAGTGTTCCTGGCGGCCACACCCGGGGCCTGCAGGAATGTCCTGGCCGCTCCGGCGAGAGGCCTCCACCGACCCCACTGGCTCCTCGCACCCCTCCTGCCCCTCCCTGCGAGCCTCCAGCCCCAGGAATGCGCCCACCGCCCTGCGTGGCCCCACGCCGGGACCGCCAACCACGGCCGGGGGCCCACGGAACAAGAATCCTGCGTGTTTTATGTGTTATTTTTCGTTTTTTGTTCCTCCTCACCTGAGGACATTTTTTCCATTGATTTTTAGAGGGGGTGGGAGGAAGGGAGAGAGAGACACACTGATGGGCTGCCTCCCACATGCACCGGACAGGACTGAGGATTGACCTGCAACCTGGGTACATGGCCTTGACCCAGAATCATACCCATGGCCTTTTGCTCGGCCGATGCTCTAACCACTGTCCACGCTGGCCAGGGCCGCGCCTGCCTCTTAAAGATCAACCATGAGCGACTCAAGCTGGGTCTGGACTCTGGCGGATCCTGAGGGAGCAGTTTGCTCCCCTAAATATGCCTTTTGGGGTGCCAATTCTTGTATGCTGGTTGCTTTTAAAAAACAAATAGGGGGTGTGCAGGAGGCAGCCGAGCCACGATTCTCTCTTATCACTGATGTTTCTCTCCCCTCCCTCTCTGAAATCAATTAAAAGGACATATTTTTTAAAAAGTGGAATCTTCATGATCTGGAACGCCCTCTAGGCACACCATCCTTTCCTCCTCAAGACTTAGCCCCCAAACCACCTCCTTCCGGAACTTTCTCTAACAGCCCCAATGAAAATGGGATCTTCCTCCCTCATCTTGATGTAACTCAAGGTGGGAACGAGGGATGGTCGGCTGACCAGCGGGGGCCCCTCCGATCTGGGGCAGGGCGTCTCTGCTTCTGGGCGAGGCGGGCGGGGGAGGCTGGAGTGGAAGGAATGCCACGGAACGCTGTCCCCTGGACATGCCCACCCTTCCAGAGCCCTCAGCGGGACAGGGGCAGCTGTCACCGCTCGGCGTCAGCTGGCACCATACTCGGTGGCAAGCAGAGGGCACCTAATAAATCTGCCGACACCAACTGCCGAACCTGCTCAAGACCAAAGAAGGTCTGCTGAGCAGAGTGAGCAGTTCTTGGTCCAAGAATCGGAGCAATGCAGCCTGAGAGCAGCTGGGAATTCAGCGAGGCAGGAATGTAACCGTCAGCACAGCAACTGCTGGGTAACAAATGGAGATGCCGGGCTCCAGTCCAGCCCCCGGGGTCCCGTCCCCATTTCCCACCTGCGGTTTGTCCGGGGACAGCAGGCAGATCCTGGCTCCTCTGCTCCAAGGCAGGACAGCGCTGGGCAGGTGGGTCTGAGGAGCAAGCGAAAGGATGTCAGTGAGGGGCCCGTCCGGGGGTGAATCTGGCCACGTGCTCTCAGACAGAC